GGGCTGGTAGGTCAGTACTGAGAAATATGAGAATTTGAAATATGGGCCTGAAATAAATACTACTGATTTTTTATTTCACTTTGATTAATTTCTGCAATCATTAAACATTATTACAATTATTATAAATGCCCAGGTTGAAAGTGGATCTGTTCGTTTTATATTGGATCTGAATTTTTTCAAAAAACTTGGACTATGTAAAATTACATTGTTGTAAGATGTCGTTCTGCACATGTTACAGAAAAATTGGAAAAACAATTGTTTTTCTGACACTGTTTAATTAATTTGAAAACATGATTTGATAGGCATTTACTGTCGGTAATGATGGACTGCAAAAAATGAAAGGGGACAATTGTAAGATGTCGTTCTGCATCCAATCTGCTGTTAGCAAAGAATGAATCATCTGACACTGTTATGAATGAGTATAAACAGTACCCCCTAAGATGATTGTTTGTATCTTCTTACAAAATACATTCTCATGATAATAATTCATTTAGATTGACTGTGAGGCACTTTAACTATCACATAACATTAAATTATTTTAAGAAAACTTCCCACCATTTTTTTTTTTTTTTTAAGACTTGAGTAGTGGGTGCTGACAGGGCTTGCTACTGAGTTTTTGAGAATCATACTTTTATAAAAAACCAGGTTGTTTAAAATCTGTTCGTTTATATATTGGATCAATTGTTTTTTCAATAAAACTTTACAGGACTATTCATTGTGGGTTCTGACTCACCAAAAATTGGAAAAACAATTGTTTTTGTTTGAGTTTTTGGTGATTAAGAGGCATTGCGTAAAAAAAAGGGGAAACAACTCGAGTTATACAATAAAACCCAGGTTGTTTTATTTTTCAGTCTTTATGGGATTGAATTTTTCCTACATTTTTCAACCGATTTCAACAAAACTTCACTTTTTTTTTTTTTTTTTTTAAGGCAGGTAGTGTTTCTTATTGTCTTGATTTTTCTTTTATTTTTACTGCTTTAAAATTCCATTTACAAGACAATTGTTTATAATAAATTCTATTCAAGCCGGTAGACTCATAACGATTGAAAACAATGTTTTTGTTTGAGTTTGGGTTTGACCAATTCGTAAAAAAACCAAAAAAACAACTAATTAAGACAATTTTTATTTTCAGTCTTTAATGGTCGATGATCTATCTTTACTGTTACATCTCTTAAATCCCCAAAATGGATGAAACATGAAATAAGCATTTGATTGGATGCCCTTTTGATATGGATACTACTCAGCCTGTTTTTAAAAACATTATTACAATGGGTAATGGTACCACATGAATTTGGTACCAAAATTTGTGAAAATGTGACGTAAGGAAGACTGTGTTCTGCACCATGTTACAGATTAGTTGCTTCAGTGGCAATCTGCTGTTAGCAAAGAATGAATCATCTCTGACACTTTGACAATGTTTACATGATTTGAAATAAGTGATAACACTCTGTTGCATCTTGATAGGCATTTACCCCAATGTAGGATGTTTCGAATGAGCTGCCCTTGGATTAACCATCCCATCACAGTTATTATTCCACTACAAAAGATGATTGCCAAGTTCCAATAAACAATCTTTTTGCAAAAGTAATTAATTTGGATCTGTGAGGGGGAAGCTACTCCCCACTATAAAGGACGATAACTCAAAATACAATTGAGTTACTTCCCTTGTCTGGAAGTCAAGTGCAACACTTCTGAATTAAATATGGTGACAAGCTGATATGCATGTGGAATTCATGGTTTCAATTCAAACAAATCCTCACTGTTCTCAGACAGTAAATGAATAAAAGTTGTTTTATTAATTATTAAAATAGGCTTGTTTTTTTTTTTTTATTTTTGTTCATTCCAACAGCCTGGGATATAACTGGATCGACGATTGATTTGGTCACTTTGCATAAAATAATTTAATGTTACGTGATAGACAAAGGACATTTATAAAAATAAAACTTTCAAAAGGCATAAAATTAGTTTACTTTACACCATTTAAGTGACTCGGAGAACATTGTCTTTGCAACCTTGTTTCAAATTGGAAGTGTTTAAGCAGAGTAGATATTCTCAAAAATGTTTGTGTATAATAGCCCCCCCCTCAAAATTTATTGTTGTAAACAAGAAAATACAGTAAGTCTCCTGGAAATTACATTAACTTTTGAGCTGTGGCCAGTTAGAGCAGGGGCAGTTATGACTCTCCACAACTTCTCATCTTTCTAAGCAACATTTAACACCCCCCTTACTATCTCTTCCAGTTCTTGGTCTGCCATCCATTTACACTATTTACCTGTGCCTTTTTCTGCCTTCAATATGTCCTATGGGTGTCAAATTCTCCAGACCCTCTTTCCTCATTGTGTGTTCCATGAAATTTAAACTGACTTTCCGATTGTAATGTGACTTTTTTTTTTTTTTTTTTTTTAGACCAATTAAGACCGAATAGTGGGTTTGATCCTTAACAGGTGTCCCCCATATGATGTGACATTCACCCAGTCAGTTTGTTTGATCCCTTCTGCTGAATGTTCAATGGATCACTTCGATCCAAGCCTTACCCACATTGTGTTTGATTTAGATCACAAGATTGGCGAGGATCAAATTGTCAACAGAAATTGTAAAATTAGTCATGGCTTCACTTTAACTGGATCAAAGTCATAAGATAAATTGTAATGAACAAAATGTTAACATACTGTTTCTTGTACAGAGTGGATGGTACAATATCAGTTCTTCATGCAGTAATATATTTGTCATGCAAAGTCATTCAACCCTTCCCTTCCTCAAATATTTCATGACACTTTGTCGAGAGTAAGTTTAGACAAGGCTTCTGGAACACAGTGCAAAGTCGGAGGTCTTCTTCAGCAGTAAGAAGTCATGTGAGTTCAGTGAAGTTGTCATCTCTTGCTTGGTAGCTTTTTTCTGTGGCTGTCGCTTCGATCTTCTGTTTATATGGACCTTCGTTCAAAGCTGGCACGTAGTCTGACATATTTTGGTGATTCCCCTAATTTCCACACAGTTCTTTAACTCTGGGAAATGAATTGCATGCCCAATTTTGGAGAGACCCTTCCTCCAGAGAGTAGTTGTAGCAGAATATCAATCCACTAACTCCTTCCTTCTCATATTGGTGCCTCATACCAATACTGCCCAAGGGCTGTAGGCAATTCCTTTGCCTCCCTTGGTGTTCTATCTAGGCCTTTGACTAATCTGATCTCTAAACAGCCTCTTGTGGCATTTCAACTCGAAAGAAATTTAATCTCTTCAGCAATTAACACCTTCCTTTTTCTTTTCTTTTTTTTTTTGACACATGTTAAAAAAAACTTCTCCAATTTTGCCAGTTTCCAGAAAACCTTAAAATTAAAACCTAATTTTATTATAATTTTTTTTCTCCTTACAGGGTTATGGCCAGCAGATAATTCCAAAACAATAATGTCTTTATTTCGGCTTTTATGCCTCTTTCCATCTCCCACAGGGTTAAATTACCCAGATGTCTTTTTCAACTAGAATCCCCAAAATAATAATAATAAGACCATTTTACCCCCAGCCAGGCCCTACTCCTGACTTGGTCATCAGAGGTCCTCATATCTATTCTTCAGTGGATGTGATGACAACCCAGTATTTATCAAGTTAATTTCATAGTCAGTTGTCAACTTTGGCCATATGGTTTTTGGGGAAAAAAAACAAAAAAACAAAAAAAAACACACACACAAAACCACAAAAAAAAAACAAAAACAAAACAAAATCTTCTGACTTTAATAAAATCTGATCTTGACCCCTGTGTATGTTTATAAATCTATCTTTCAACCTAAAAGCATCACACATATACTTTTGGCCTTGTGTCTGAACTAAGCTGTGCTTAGTAAATCAATATAAGTGAGCTTTTTGTTTCCATTTCCCTTGAAACTTCCTTATTGCCCACGTCTCTTTCATTGTATTCTCATATTTTTTTTTATTTTCAAAGAGTGTCTTTGAGGCCTTTTCCCGCCATTGGTTTTACATGTAGGAAGCCAACACTGAACTAAAAGGCTCTATTTTAAAAAAACAGTGGTTCCCAAAATTTTTTTTCCTCTGAACCATATTTTCGGAATGAAAATTTGCTTGCGCCTCAGATTTTATATAAAAATTTAAAAGTGAAAATAGAGACGGTCAAAGGGAGATAACCGCTGATTTGATAATTCTCCAATTTGTGAACCCTAGTTCGGCGTTGTAATGGTTAGCAAGCTTGGCTCGTTAGAACAATTACGACTGAGTAGTGAGTTCGATCCTCACTAGGTACCCCTTAATTTCGGCCTTGTGCCACATCTAAGCTACGCTTGGAAAAAAATCACTATAATGGAATCTTATAATAAGAGTGAGCAATGATCATTTATCACTATTTATACTGAGACTCATGTATGCAATTTACAAGTAATCCATAATATTTTCAAATCATTTATGTTTCTAAATCTTTGTCTTTCAATCACTGTGCCTCACAGGCACCATTTTGTGAACCACTGCTGTAAAAGTGAAGAAAACACAACACAACAAAGAAAAATCCAGAACAAAAATTCATTGGAAACTGAATTTATTTTTCTTGGCATCTCGAAGGGTTTAAAAAAAAAAAATCAAAAAATATCGAAGTGCTTAGTAGAAAGATATACCAAGGACAAAATAAAACAATCAGAGACTACAGCCATCAATTAGCATAAATTTTTTTTTTTTTTCCTCCCCCTTTTCTCTTTGGAGAGAAACGAACGGGTTTAGAGAAAGATGATTTTGGAAACATTTTGGCTTCCTTGATTAAACTTGTGTGTCTGTGAGAGTGTGTGTGTGTGTGTGTCTGTGTCATTTAAAAGTATTGGGGGAAAGAAAAAAAGCAGCACCAACATCGTTAATAGGTCTGGGGTTTTATAGTTCTTTTTTGTTTTTTTGTTTAATATATATGTATAGATTGGGTATTCAAGGCAATCAACAATTTTATTTTATTAATTAATGTACTTTTGAAATTCGTTTTTTTTATACTTTTTTTTAAAAACAAATAACCACCTTTATCTGGCATGTTTCTTGCAATAGGGTTTACCTCCCTTGGCATAGAACGGCTGTCCCTCCAGACTGACATGACACGACTGGAAAAAAAAAAAGAAAAAAAAAAGCAAAACAGCATTTAAGGAACCAGTTTGAAAATTATTTGGTACAGCATCCTTAAAAATTTAGTGATAGTAATAATTAAATTCCTAAATCTCATCGAACTCTATGTAGGAGTATGAAACCATAATAATAAGAGAAAAATTTAAAGTTAATAAAATTACCTTAAAATATAGATAAGAATGATAATTAACAAAACAAAACAAAAAAAAAAAAAAGAATAAAAATAGTTAAATAAATGTGAAAACTCCCATCTTTCACCAGAACAGATATTTTTGCAACCAATTGAAACAGAAATCAAATTTTCTCTCTTCATCTCCAGCAACCAAATGAAGCAGGTGTCTAGAGACAGCACTGTTAGATCATGTGACTCCTACCAGATAAGCATAGACTTTATATCCCTATACATATATGTACTTTGAAATATGAAAGCCTTTTATTGTTTTTGTTTATGCTTATTATTGTTTGTTTATATATAATTAAATATAACAATGAATGTTTTATGTCTGATCACGAGCGGTTCTAATGTTGGCTTTAATTCCTGGTGAAAATGGAGACAAAAACTGTCCAACATTTGGATATTTTTTTTTTTTATATCATGTGGTATGACATCAGAACCGCATCTTGTACTTATGATCTGCATCTGCTATTCAGCGGCCGTTATTGTTGCATAGCAATTTTCTGTATCAAAATAACAAAATATCATCTTTGATGGTGGATATCTGTTTCATGCCTGTATAACCACTCTGAGGATGGCTCATGTGAGCCGAAAGCTTAGGACGAACTTGATAAAAAAATATCCAAGTGTCGGACAATTTTTGTCTTTATTTTCACCAGAAATTAAAGTAAATATTTTAATGGCTCATGATCAGACGTAATAGACATCCATTGTTATATTTAATAATATATGTTTAAATAATGATCTGCTGCCCCGATACACTATAATATATATATATATATATATAAAATGTTGGTATTACATCAAGACAAGGCCAACACATTATCAGCACAACAGCTTTCAAATGAGCACCATACAGAGTGGGGAGGTAGATGGTTGGAATTGAAGGAAGAAATTGTGCTACCATTTGTATTTGGTACAAAAGAGTTAAAATCTTTCAGCTTCTGTGATGGTATCATGCCACGTAGATTGAAGAGAATTGTTAGATTGATATTAGGAAAACAAAATTCAGTAAACATGGACTTTCAATGTCAAAATTATGCCCCCCACCCCGATAGCTAATATTATTTTAACTACCATCACTCTTCAGCAATGCTTATAGTTTTAAATAGTTATGATTAGAAGTGGAATAAAACTTAGATGAAAATGAATTTATACATTTTCATCTGATTGTCCTTGAAAATTGGCAAGAAAAACAACAAGTTTTTATTGGAATGGTTGGCAGAACATCAGCTAATTGTCAATGGATTCAAACTTTATAAAATGGTAAATAATAAGGATTTCTTTATAGTTGGTTTACATATTTAATAAATATTTATAAATTTATGAATAAAAAATTGTTTTTTTTATATTTATTTCTTTATAAATTGGGAAATGATAAATATGGCATCATATTAGTTTTTAGAATGTTGTAAATATAAAATTATTCTTGTAAATAAACATTCTAATAAATAAATAGTTAACAAAAAGGTCAGGGCTATATTTAATGAAGTTGTGGGTGGGGAGGGTATTACAAAATACTTACAGTGCAAGAAAAGCAGTCTGAGTGATAACTGTGGTCCAAAGCCTCTACCCAGCGATCTCCAGGATCAATTGGGTATTTGCAGCCAAAGCAGACAGCCTGGAACTGGGCCTTCCAATCTGAGTTGGGAGAATTTGAGAAGAAATAAATATCAGGCAAGATTAAAAAGAGAAAAAAAATAAACAAAAGAAAAAATTTCCCTACACAAATGTATAAAATATAAATATATAAAAAATATTTTTCAATATAAAAAAAAAAAAAAAAAAAAAAAAAAAAATACATTAATACAGAAACATGACAGACTTCGAATTCCTGTTGAGTTTGTTATATTCACTTATGTGCAAATACCTTTGGGAAAGAGTATGAATCCACCTCTTCTCACCCCATCTATGGGTTAATTAGTAAGACTTGTATCACTAAACCATTATCATCTCCAAAAATAAAATAATGTATAGAATATTTAGATTTTGGTATTAAAAAAAAAAAAAAAAAAAAAATAGATGTGCCACTAAGCAAGAACAACTAACCAGCCAAATCTTCCTCCTTCCTTCTCCTTTGTGCTCTTAAAACAATCTTATTCAGTAACCCTCTATCTTGAGTGGCTCTTGGGCCTCATGTGAAAAATAGTATAAAAAATTAAAACATTGTTATTTGTAAAGTAGTATTGGAGGCACTGTGGAGTAATGGATAGTGGCTTCGATTGAGGAATCGGAGAGCCGAGTTCAAATCCCAGTCGAATCCATTACATTCACTTACATGCTAATACCCTTGGGAAAGGTATGAATCCTCTTCTAGATTTTCCCAGAGGAGTAATGGATAGCGGCTAGGATTGAGGAATCGGAGAGCCAAGTTTGAATCCCAGTCGAATCCATTACATTCACTTACGTGCTAATACTATTGCAAAAGGTGCTCTTCTCCCTCTAGCTATGGGTAAATAGCAGGACAGACTGGGTTCTATAGCGTTGGATGGCAATTGGTCTAGGAGAAGGAAAACTCAGAATTCAAAACCTGCAGAGGGTCGTTTAGGGACCTTGTGGCACGTAGTGCACCAGGTCTCTGTAATCGGCCCTTCAAAAAGTGTGGATGGTACTGCACGAAACCTTCACCACTATAAGCAAATCTCATGTGCTATACATGTGGGTTTGGGGACTGCTTGTGAATTCCAAATTCCCATGAAACTCCAATATTGGAGCCGGCTCAACCCACCTCGGGTGAATGCTGTTACAAGAACAAGAAGAGAAGATGAATATATAGATATTCACAAAATAAATTATAACCGAAGTTAATCTTTATTATATATATATATATATATATATATATATATATATATAATTAAAATGAAAGGTTGTCCACATGTTCTTATAATATGTAAATTTAATAGGCTGGTTAGTGACATCAGATGTGTGCTTTTAGCATCTTCATTCAAAAGCTGACAAAGATGCAGATATGTTTTCAAAATAAAACTCACACATTCAGGGATTAAACAGGTTATTTGGGTTTACTCAGAAAATATAATTTCTAACTAACAACATCATCATCATCATCATTCCTTGGAAGAGAGAATCTAACTTTGTTTATTCTTTGTCTCGTTGAAACATGACAAAAGCATGTCCAAAAATTCCAACTTTTAATTTTCATGCTTCAATTTAGTCAAAAGGATAATATACAATCATACATATATATATCCTAATTAAAAGCTTTAAACTGTCTTCACATGACTATGACTTCTATACAATGATCATGTAGTGTCAAACATGAATTTTGAAGTAGATACTCCTTGTCTTTAATAACGTCTTCAGAATTCTGATTCTGAATGTAGTTTTATGGCACACTGACTCCTATATAATTGTCACGTAATGCCAGAATAATAGAAACAAGAATAATTCTTTGAGAAACTTACCAGCATCGCAATAATATTCTCCGTCCTCAATATGGAAACTGCTATTTCCCATGGGCTTTTTACATTGTACGCAGACAAAGCATTGAGGATGGAACGTTGTGTTCAAAGCATTCACACATTCCTGCAAATAGAGAAATGTTAAATATCAATAAATTAAACTTGGTATTTACAAAAGCTCTGCTTACAGAGCAATGGCTGGTAGGACTTAATATACAATAATGGTCTCGGAATCAACAGACTCTGGATTTCACTTTAAAAATTTTCAAACTTTATTTAAAGGTATATAGTAACCTAAAAATAAAATACACACACACATATATATATATATATATATATATATATATATCTCCTGTATTTACATTTATTTACAATAATTTTGTACTGTACTGGGTTTTTAAGGCCACAAAATAAGTGCTTCAAATTAATGGACAAACCCCACTATTAGTCCATTAAATTGAGGTTCCACTGTACAATGATTTCAAAACTTTCAAGTGATAATCAGTATTAACCCTGCACAAAATTAAGAACATGTCAAGGCTCTAAGACTGAGTAACTGTTTAATCAAAATGTTTAGTTATTACTGAACCTGATACATATTAATGCACATATGTAAATTATCCACCATCCACCTGTGAATATTGATTGGTACGTATTGTTTATCTGTGCTTCCAACCTTTGACCTATTGTTTTTTGGTATTACCATTTTATGGTAATATACATTTGGGCGGGGGATTACCATTTTATGGTAATATACATTTGGGCGGGGGATTACCATTTTATGGTAATATATATATATTTTTTATTATTACCGTTTTATGGTAATCTATTTGGGGGGGTATTACCATTTTATGGTAATATATATTTTTTGTTATCATTTTAGGGTAATATATTTTTCTTACCATTTTATGGTAATATTTTTTGTAAAACAGTAATTCATCAAATATAAGAACATTTTTAAGTTTTAGTTAAAGAAATCTTTTTATTCTTAATACCCAATCGATCCCAGAGATTGTTAGATGGATACTTTGAACTACAGTTATCGCTCAGACTTTTCTTGCACTGTAAATATTTTGATTGGTTTCATTTTATTTTTATTTATTCAAATTCCTTCTGATTCTAAGCAACATGGAATCTGGATAAAAACAGAACTTCCAATTCTAGTAACCATTTCTTGAAAGTTTACAATCTGGATGCACTTTTAAATATAGTATGTGTGGTGGTGGGGGGTGTCTACAAAGTTTTAGTATAACTATGAAAACAAACATTGAAAACAAACATTAAAAACAATATAATACAAGAATAAAGAGAAAAAAAAGAAAAGAAAAAAATTACAATAAAAGGAAAAACAAAAACAATAAAAGGAAATAAACTAACAGGTTGTTGTTCCTCACAATTCAGAATTCTTATCAAGGAAGTTGTGGAGATTTATGCAGAAAATGAAATTGCAAGATAGACCATTGTAATCATATATGCCAATAAATCATGTGTCTTGATTATGTGCTTTGATCTCATTTGGCCATGTGTACAATCACAACTTTAGACACACACTAAATCTAGAGTCTGAGTCACATGTTGAATAAATTCCTTAAAAGAAAAATCTTAGAAACTTACTCCAACAATGACATTGGAACACTTTGAACAATGCGGAGCAAAATATTGCTCGTAGTCCCTCTCACAATACAGGTAGCCGCCTTCCTCTACAAATCCAATGTCAAACAGCTTGACACCACAATTGGGGTTGGCACAGACAAAATGATCAGGACACCAGGATTTGCTCATGGCCAACACGAAAGGACCCCTGGGTTTCAAAAAGTAAAAGAAAAGAATTAGAAATAGATAATTACAAAATGTGTCTGAAACATAGGTAGACAATACACACCTTTAAAAAGAAAAGAAGAAAAAGAAGAAAAAGAAAAAGAAAAAGAAAAAAAAAAAAAGAAAAAAAAAGAAAAAAAAAAAAGAAAAAGAAAAAAAAGAAAAGAAGAAGAAAAAAGAAAAGAAAAAAGAAAAGAAAAGAAAAGGAAGAAAAAGAAAAGAAAAGGAAGAAAAAGAAAAGAAAAGGAAAAAGAAAAGAAAAAAGAAAAGAAAAAAGAAAAGAAAAAAGAAAAGAAAAAAGAAAAAAAAAAAAGAAAAAGAAAAGAAGAAAAGAAAAGAAGAAAAAAAAAAAAAGAAGAAAAAGAAAAGAAAAAAAAAAAGAAAAGAAGAAAAGAAAAGAAAAAAAAAAAAAAGAAAAGAAAAGAAAAAAGAGCGTCTACTCAAATATAGGTATCTACTAAAAATGTTTCAAATGATAAAAATGTTGTATGAAAAATAGATGCATGAATTCCTTATTATACATCTTCAAATTAGAGAAAGAACAGATGGAGTAAAAATCCACAGTTCATACATTTATTTTTTAAAAAGTGCTCAATACAAAGTAGAACAAAATCCCGGCAGAATGATAAGATAAAGAACAAATAGGAAATGTTTATCAATCTGACATGTTTCACTTTTTATTAAAGCTTCAACAAATGTGACATGACACCCTGCTCATTAGGGGAAAAGCTTGTGGGGGAGCTGGCTTAGATGCCAACCACCCATCTATGTGTCAGCTTGTGATGGAAAAGTACATATTTGTTATGCCAAATAAATGGCTTAGTTTGCAAACTTCTTGATGTACCTACATATGTATATATTAAATATATGTATATATATATATATATATATATAGACACACATAAGTAAAAGTACAAACAAGAAATGTTTATCAATCTAACATGTTGCACTTTTATTAAACCTTCATCAGAGAATGAGATATGGAGAAAAAAACAATAATTTTCTTTCTCATATATATGAAAATTTGTGTATTTAGGCAGCAAATTCTTTTTTAGGCATGTCTGATTGAATAAATTACAGACATTATGTCTGCTAATTTTTAACAAAATCCATTCATACTCACGAATAACCTTCTGTGTATTGATATTAAAGGATGAGAGAAATGTGCTATAACTGTTTAAATTTCTTTTATTTTCATTTCCCAAGTACTTTCGATCTTCTTCCAAGATCATCTTCAAGGGTGCAAGTAATACAAAACTATGCATTGTTCAGGGGTACACGTATTTATACAAAGCTGTGCATTGTTATCCATTACGGTAATTTTTCATTATGAAATCGATTGACAATGTGTTGAGAAATTTAAACAGTTATAGCTCATTTCTTTCATCCTTTAATAACAATACACAGGAGGTTATTCATGAGTATGAACAAATTTTCTTCTAACCTAAGTACTTTCAAACTTTTCCAAGATCATGAACGGATTAGCAGACATGACTAATTTATTCAATCAGACATGTCTAAATATATTTTTTTCAAACATATTGTTAAATATAACAGACAATGGATATTTAATACGTTTTATCATGAGCCTTTACAAGCATTGTATAATGGCTTTAATTTCAAGAGAAAATAAAGACAAAAACTCTTTGTTGTAATGTCCATATAACCACTTTGATGATGGCTCATGCAAGTTGAAAGCTTAGATTGATAACCAATGTAATAAAGAAATATCCAGATGTTGGACAGTTTTTGCCTATATTTTCTCTTGAAATGGCTCAAAACCAAACAATAGACATTTGTTTAACAATATATGCTTGAATAATGATCTGTTGCCCAAATACACTATATATATATATATATATATATATATATATATATATATATAATTTTCAAACAGGTTTTATTGAATAATATAGACATAATGTGCCTATCTATTTCTATAATAATCATTTCCAGTTCTCTAATCAGTTTTTTCATGTTAAGATGAAATTCATCAAGGAAGTTGCCATAGTTTTTTCTAACCTAAGTACTTTCAATCTTTTACAAGATCATCTTCGGGAGCAAATTACAAAGACAAACTTATTGATAAAATCTTGGATTAGAGGATGAAATGCATTGGCAAAGTTAAGATTTCCTGTCTTTATTCATATTATCCTTTTACAGATATATTGTAGTTATATATATATATATATATATATATATATATATATATATATAATTGGTCATGATTATTCCAAAGAGGACTTTTAGACCATATGAGAGCTCAATGTATGATGCAGAGCAAATTATAAGAATAATTAGTGGGGGGGGGCCCTTAAAAATCCATATTAGGTAATAAATTTATTTTGTCATAAAAATAAATATTACTGAATATTGATTCTAAATTTTTTTTTCTTTATGATTTTATATATATTTAAATTGTGTGTATATATTATATTAAAAAATATGGATCAATATTGTGAATTTCTTTCTTCGTTCAATGATAATGTTAATAAACTTAGACGTTATGAAAAGAATTTACATAAAATAAATAGACAACACTTGTCTATATTATTTAATGAAACGTGTATGACTATATATATATATATATATATATATATATATATATATATACACACACACAAACTATTTCTTGTTAATATATTTCAATCTTGAAAATGTATAGCCAAAAGTGCTTGGATAAAAAGAACATTCAGACAGTTTTTATATAATTTATATCATCTGAAAAGAAAAAATTATAAGATTACATGAGATATTGTATAAAAACAAAAACTAAATCAATGCACCTTGTCTCTGTCGTATTCAATGAAATGTGCATGAAAGAAGGATTGCTGCCTAAATACACACACACACATTATATATATATATATATATATATATATATATATATATATATATATATATCTCTCATCAGTACTATTTAGCTATAACTTTACTTTCAGATGCTATAATGGCAGATACAAAAATTGTGTTTCTGAAAGTTCTGAGGCATCAACTATCAAACATGGCTGTTACAACATTCAAAATCTACTCGACACAGGATAGTTTAATCATGAAAGTGAGTAACTGGTTCAGATTAATTTTTAGCTTTCACATCCAACTGTTAGGATTCCATAGATCGTAACAGTAAAAGATGTCCATGAAAAATTTTAAATTCAATTCCCACAAAGGAAATTTATTTTAGCTTCCAACCTGATTTGGGCTCCACATTGAGCACATACAGGGATTCTTCCGGCCAATTGATCTTGGGTTCGATAGACAGCGTCTCCTCTCTTGCCTTTGGTAGCACCAACGCCAGTAGGTTTTGGTGGAACACCCCTTGGCAATGCAGCCCTTACGGGTGCTGGAGCTGGTGCCGGAGCAGGAGCAGGTGCACGAGCAGGCATAGCAGCATGAGCACGAGCTGGTGCGGCAGCAGGAGATGCTCTAGCCAACGGGGCCACAGGTGGAGGAGGAATATCTGCAAAATGAAAAGAAAAATTACTTATTCAAATGATTTGAAATAATTATTTACTCTTTGCATGATTTAAGTTAAAAAGAAAATTACCTATTAAAGTGTTAGCTTTGAGATTTTGCAGTTGCATAAGTAGCAAAGTAATCATTCTAAGTAAGGCAGTTACCATATGTATAGTTCGAGTTAATTTTATTACACAAAAAAAAAAAAAAAAAAGTGTTCACACTATACACAGCTAATTTTTTTTTTTTTTTTTTTTAAGACGTTAAAAATCATGTATTTTCAGTGATTGGTTGCATTATACACAGGTAAATTTTTTCTGGAGAGGTTAAAATTCACGCAAGAAAATTGATGGTGGGGGCGTTCTATACATGAAATCAGTTTATACATGAGTATATACAGTAACTGAGATGTTCGTTTTGAGATTTTATAATGCAACATCAAAAATGATTAATTGAGATTTACAGCATATCAACCTCGATTGGTTATTTAATGCAGACATGATTTTTATTGCTGATTATATTTTTCTTCAAAAAAATATTTCTAGCAATATCCTTCCTTTTAAAATCAATATAATATATAAGTAATAATTTCCAAGAACGTATTGCGGGGTAACGTTTTCCCCACAAGAATGTATTGCGGGGTAACGTCCCCCCCCCAAGAACGTATTGCGGGGTAACGTTTTTCCCCCACAAGAACGTATTGCGGGGTAACGTTCCCCCCCCCAAGAACGTATTGCGGGGTAACGTTTTCCCCCCCCAAGAACGTATTGCTGTAATATTCCTTTATGAAATTGTATTGCTGATAATACGATATTTCCCTCAAAATTGAATGAGAAAGTATATTATGTTCTCTGATAACAATTTTTTCCTTCTAAACTATATTGCTGGTAATAACTTTCCTTCAAAAATGCATTGCTGGTAATAAATTTTTCCTCAACAATTAATAGCTGTTAATAATTTTGACTTCATAAAAGTATTGCTCGTAACCAAAAATGTATTGTTGGAAATAATTTTTTTTTTTTTTTCCAAACCTGGTTTACAAAAACAAAGTAGATTTAGTAAAATTTTTTTTTAAATTTTCCTGTAGAGCAGAATTTCTTTAATGAAATTTATAATGTGACTTGGATTTATTTTTTCAAATAGATCCTTTAAGTTAACCGATTTGTAATGTTTCGAAAATAAATGAAGAGCTGGTTTTTGAAATTAGGATTATAAAGTGGTCTTTATAAAAAAATGTTCTTAAATTTTAAGAAACATTATTTAAACTTATAACATCATTTTGTTGATTGAATTTACTGAAAGTCGTTTGGATGAATACTTGACTGCTAATTATATATATATATATATATATATATATATTGATGAATACTCGATTGCTAATTATATATATATATTGATGAATACTCGATTGCTAATTATATATATATATTGATGAATACTCGATTGCTAATTATATATATATATATTGATGAATACTCGATTGCTAATTATATATATATATATTGATGAATACTCGATTGCTAATTATATATATATATATTGATGAATACTCGATTGCTAATTATATATATATATTGATGAATACTCGATTGCTAATTATATATATATATTGATGAATACTATTGAATTATATATATATATTGATGAATACTAATTGCTAATTATATATATATATTGATGAATACTGATTGCTAATTATATATATATATTGATGAATACTCGATTGCTAATTAATTATATATATATTGATGAATACTCGATTGCTAATTATATATATATATTGATGAATACTCGATTGCTAATTATATATATATATTGATGAATACTCGATTGCTAATTATATATATATATTGATGAATACTCGATTGCTAATTATATATATATATTGATGAATACTCGATTGCTAATTATATATATATATTGATGAATACTCGATTGCTAATTATATATATATATAATATATTGATGAATACTGATTGCTAATTATATATATATATTGATGAATACTCGATTGCTAATTATATATATATATTGATGAATACTCGATTGCTAATTATATATATATATTGATGAATACTCGATTGCTAATTATATATATATATTGATGAATACTCGATTGCTAATTATATATATATATATATATATATATATATATGATGAATACTCGATTGCTATATATATATATATGAGAGAGAGTGAGAGGGAAAAATATAAAGTTATCAGATAATATTTTATTTTCCATTTATTTATTTCAATCATTTCATCCCAAGCAAAGTAATAAAGATTGTGATGCCTCTCCCCAACCGAAAGAAATATGATTATTACCAAGTTCTTATCTAGATATAAATCATTCCATTATTTTTGAAGGTACTCTCCATAATTATAAACTAAAAATAAGAGTTGTTTTTTTTTCTAACCCCTCCCCACAGACATTAAGAAAAATTTTCCAGGGATTTCAAAATATGTCATGTTCTACAATGCCAACATTTAGTTTTGTCATCTTGTAGTTAATAATTTTTTTTTTTTCTGACCTCTATGTAAATGATTCATTTTTGATAATATGCTATTGGTGTGGGTGTCACCATTTTTGTTGTGAGGTGTGGAAGTTTCTCTGTAAACATTTAATGACTCCTGGGACATTTGTCCCACAAACAATATTTGGCGGACTCATGTAAGCCTGGGTAAAAGTAAGAAACAAAACAGATTTTAAATAATTAATTAATGCATGTATTAACAAAGAAATTGCACTAATGTGTACACAGTTGAAAGGAAAGCAAAATACATTAAAACTTGGCTATTAAGACTGTGCGTGAGAGAGAGAGTGAGAGAGTGAGAGAGAGAGAGTGAGAGTGAGAGTGAGAGAGAGAGAGAGAGAGAGAGAGAGAGAGATTTCAGTCATTAATCGACTAAGTATTGTATAGCTCTTTGTGCTGGAGATCTCTTGGTCCCTGTGCCAATTTGAGTATATGTTGCATAGCCCTTTGGTGGGGGTTGGTCTTGGGGTGATGGTGTCAATTCACTCATAACAATGCCTTCTTTCTTGACTGCTGATCGTCAGTTGTATTGTTCAGAGATAAAAGAACTTCAACAAAAGAATTTTAAACTTATCTAGTTTTATTCACCATGTTGACAGGTACATTTCTAACTAGCCAGTGGGGTCATTATCACTACCACAGGGGACAAAGTTCAGAGATACAAAAAAAACAAAAAACATGTCTACATTGTTTGACATGTAAAACTCAACTCCCTGAAATCACTTTCTATCTCTAACATTCCCACACTAGTTTTAGCCAATCAAAAATGACTCCCTTTGTTTTCCTGTATCTGACCTCGAAGGTCAAAATGAGGATGTCAGAGGAGAAATACAATTCTCTAAAAAATAAAAGTCTGCTAGACTATCATTTAATATAGGGAAATGAATGTGTCCCAGCAGAGATGTTCTCATCTATGAACCACTATATTTTGGAAGAAAGAGGAAGAAGGAAATATTTGTCTTTTTATAAACTTAAACAGCATCACTTAATGGGTGTTTGGTGAAGCTAGGTGGACAAAGCCATACAAACAAAAAATTCAAGTAACTATTTCAAAGAATACTTACATGTCACTGGAACAGTGCCAGCTGGTGGAGGAGGAGGTACGGCACTAGCTGGTGAAAAATGTGGTTGTGGGCTCCTGAAAAATAAAAAATGTCAAAATTAACAAATGGAAGGACTTGTATCATTGTTAACATCCTGTCTACTAATAAAATATATGCCCTTTCCTCTCTTTCAGAATGCACAACAGTTAATTGTGTTTATTTTTATATGAGGTGCTAAAGCATCTCTTTATTATTTTAACCTATTTGAAGCAGATGGGCAGGCATTTGTCTTCTGCTAAATTTGAATAACATGTACCTGAACAGATATTGAAAGTTCAGATTTGGTTTCAAACCTACCTTAATGCTCGATTTTTATTTATTTGTTTATGTAATATTATATGTCAGGAGATCTATCTATCTACTTACCTTATCAACCTGCCACCTCCACTCCGCTCTTCAGTTAATTGTGAACTTTGTTTTTCCGGAGCTATATACAGTTTTGAATTCAAAATCGTCCTAGACTTGTTGCTAAATCACAGCTAAAGAGACAAAAGTTCTTAATGTGGCAATGGTTCTTCTGATCTTGTTACTAACACGTATACAGTACAGAGGTCAAATTTTGGAACCAAGGGAGGCAACTCAATGTTACCTGCTTGTACATCTCCAACAGACAAAAGGTACAAGAAACAAAGCTTACCCTGTAACTAAATTTTCTAAGGCAAATTAAGTAGAGACAATTCCTCTCTGCTGGGCCTATCTTTTTAAGGTTTGAAAAAGACAGTCAAACAAACTATTTTAAATTAGGAACGTCTACAAAAGTTTTAAATTAGTTTTTAAAAAGGAAAAGTCTTTCTTAAAGCTTTCATTAAAAGATTAAATTTACTATTTCCAATAAGTAAAATACTCTGATGGTGTATTTCAAACAGAAACTACATTGATTGGAATCTATTTTCTTTTTTTCTCTCTCTCCAGTAATATCGTCAAAGTTGTTCAATTTTGAGACATCTGTAAAAACTAGTTAGTTCTCAGTTTTAAAAATCTTGCAAAAATAAAATATACGTTTCTGACACTTTATTTGAGGAAGATTAGCCGATTTAAAATATTTTTAATCATCCACTTTTTCAGGTTTGTCTTATGGCAAAAATAAACATTTTTTTTGCATGTGCTTGTCGTTTGACTTAGGATAAAGAGCCAGAGTTTCAAAGTGGATACGACTTCCTCATTGGGAGAATTGGCGCATCACAATCTTCGTAATGTTATTTACTTTACAAAAAGTAAGACTAATAAATCAAAGGTGGGGGGGGGGAATAAATTAGACGCAAGGGAGACAATAAATTTTGAGATAAGGGAGATAACTTCATACATTTTAAGCTACTTAATAGTTTTTAATTTTCAAGAAATTTAATTTAAAATCAAGATTATGTTCTTAAAAATTTCCAGCATCAACGTTAAATGAAGCCAAGACAGTTATATAATTGGCTACATTTGGTTTATAATATCCATCTACCTGTACTGCTGATTCAGGCTAAGTTTCAATTGGAAGACATTTTTTTTTTTTATATCTTAGCCAGCCAACTTTACTGTATTTTTTTAATGGATAGGGCATACAAATCACTTGAACATTTAAGTTTTTAGACTTATCTCTCATTTTCTACTGAGCACTTTCTTGACAATTCTGGCAATTTTCTATATTATGATAAGCGTAAATGAGTCGCCTCTGTCTTTTTTACAAATACTTTCATGGTAATTGCTCCGATGAGCTGCATTCACTGGTTCCCAGGCTTCATGAATTCAAGCGCCCTACGAGGCTGGCATCCCGCTCTCACCCTTTCACTGTTGAAACTGTTTAATGTAGCCGTCTCTTCTACTCCAATAGCTTCATATCTCGCACCTCTCGCCTGTGGAACTCCCTTCCCTTTTCCAGTTTCCCTGAGAGCTATAATATCCAACTATTCAAATGTAATGTCAATCGACATCTCCAGTTGCCTTGATCTATCCCCTATCCTTCTCTTCATCCTTTCCTCTATCACTCCTATCTGCTCTCGGTCCAAATCCTATGTAACCCCTTGCATGTTAGTGGCTTCCAGAAATGCTTTAAAAAAAAAAAAAAAAAAAAAAAAACACATTAGTACAGATAATAAATCTGTTGATATATAATCCCAGTAGATCTACAAAGAGAGCTCAATGTATTTATTATAACAGAGCATATAAATTATACAACAAAATCCCAAATTACCTCATATTGGGGCGGGGGGTATAGATCTATTTCAACCAATGAGGAGGAGTATGTTAGTCTTATTCAACTCTAGTGTACAGACTATTCATGTCAGAATTAGAACATCTGTACTTTCAATAAAATTAACATACTTCTTGTTGGTTAAATTAGATCTATACCCCCCCCCAAACCATATGAAGTAATTTTGGATTTTGTTGTGTTATATACAGTGTAACCCGATTATAAGAGAGTAGTTGGGACCGGAGAAGAAGTCTTATATCCAGGTTTCTCTTATATCCGGGTTTGATCTATTTTATATACACTAACACAGGCTCTAATTTTGGACCAGATAAAATCTCTTATATCCGGGTTTCTCTTATATCCGGGTTACACTGTATATAAGAAAATGAGTGATAATAGTCTAAAAATTAGATGTTCAAGTGACTGATTTGCGACACCGTTCATTAAAGTTAAAGTATCTGATAAATTTCTTTAATGTCTTTCTCTATTCTCATCGAACAGGAGTAGAGGTTTATCCCTTGTTACCTGTTTAGGATTGTTTCTGGTTCCTTCTAAAGTATTTTCATTCTCTTTCACCACCAATGGCATTATTGTCTTGCTTGGGTGAATATATATATATATATATATATATATATATATATATATATATATATATATATGAGAAAATGTGTGTGAACATAGAAATCAACATTGTATGGTGACCATAATTTTCAAGCTATGGCATCATAACATTGCCTAAAGATAGCTTGAGGTATGAAACTGACTGTCATCATGCAATGTTGATTTCTATGTCTACACTGTATATCTTTACAAACACTATCTTCATATTAACCACTATTCCCCACAAAATATAGCTAATTTTAAAATTAACATGCGTTTGGGTATGAAAAAGTGATGCATTTCATCCTTCAAGACTTCTTCAAACTAAATTTGTTATGTTGGTATGACTACATATGTGCATGAAGTAGTCATACCAACATAAGAATTTTAGTCTGATAAAGCACTAAAGGACAAAATGTGTCACAAGTAAACTTTTCCACACAATTTTCCCATATGCTGTTCTTGATTTATATATATATATATATATATATTACACACACACAATTTTATTTTTAGTGGATACCCACATTTCAGAAGATTTTTTTTTTTTTAACAGTGTCAATACCATCTGCATTAAAGCATACCCCTCAGTAGGGTTTGAAACTGCATCCTCCTTTCTAGGTGGAGAAAAAAAAACCCAAAATAACTGAGCGTCTAATCAAACATGGCTATCTCTCGTATATACCCTTAATTTTTTTTACATTAAAAATTATCATAAATACTTGCACTATATGTGAAATTATATATATATATATATATATATATATATATATATATATATATATATATATATATATAAGTACTAAATGTAATTAGAAATTATGTGAGATTAAAATAGAATCCATTAATTTGTGTTTTTTGTGTGTGCATGTTTGAAAGAGAGAGAAGACATTTGCATCATAATAAAAAAAAAAAAGTTATTTTGAAACAAAAAAATTTCTGCTGAATTTTCCACAAATAAAATTCCCACTTCCAAACATGGTGATTAAACTGAGTCTTTTTTTTTTTTTTTAAATAAAATTTAATTCATAAAATCATTCTCTTATTTAAGCAAGATAAATATTCTTCAGCAAGCTTTCTATTTTGGGGTAAAAAAAAAAAAAGAAAAAAAAAAAAAAGCTAAGATAAAAGGTTTCTCAAAAGTTTCCTACTCATCCAGTTTTTGCTGAAGTCGTTTGAATGTTTTCGAATACAAAGGTTGTTGATTATTGTTTTCTTCATCTTGTTGGTGAATGAGCCTGTAAGTCTCTGAAGGTCGGTAAACTTGCCGACCAGCCTCATCAAATTCTTGTGCAGTGGAATTTTTCTCGTTATTTCCAGTGGTAGAGACAGGGTTAGATTTACTCACATCTGTATTATCAGCAGTTCTGAAAAAATGCACACACATCATGCAACAGGTCATGCAAGACGTCAAAGCAAGTCAAAAAAAACAAAAAAAAAAAAACAAAAGTAAAAACAAAACAATCAACAAAATCAAACAAAAATTGAAATAAAAAAAAAAAAAACGAACAAAAATGAAACTCATGCAATTTTTAAATAACATAAATTTAGGATTTTATGGCACATTGACACTTATATAGTGGTCATGAGATACCAAACAAAGCTTTTAAGTAGAGTCTCAGCCTGTAAAAATATTTAGATAGTTCCATTTCTGAATGTGGTTTTATGACACATTGACTCATATATATATATATATATATATATATATATATAAGCAAATATATGGATATAGATCCAACAGTATGAAGAAAAATATACGGAAAAAACAAACAAAAATCCTAATATGCAATTATGCTGTCTTAATGTTAATATGTCAACGTCAGACGTTTCGGTCTAATAGACCATCTTCAGGATATATTCATAAAACATAATTAACATTAGACCATATTCAATTCATCATCACCCACGTGATCATATTTAAACAGAATGCTGATCTTATAAAAGATCTCAGTTATCTGTTTGGATTGGTCTTGCTCTTATGTCCATCGTCTTTTTCATGTTGAATTGAATATGGTCTAATGTTAATTATGTTTTATGAATATGTCCTGAAGATGGTCTATTAGACCGAAACGTCCAACGTTGACATTATATTAACATTAAAACAGCATAATTGCATATTAGGATTTTTGTTTGTTTTTTCCGTATATTTTTCTTCATATTTTATATATATATATATATATATATATATAATAGTTATGTAATATCAAACATTTTTTGAGTAAATTATCAAAAATAACCTGTCTAATGGCTTTAATATTGTTTTATGGCACAATCCCACTACATCAGATTGTAACAAACTTTAAGCTTTAAAAATTTTAATTTCATTCTATATTTAATTTTTTTTTAATACCAAGTTTTAGCGCTTTAAAAATCAAATGGTCACCACTAAAAGGAAAAAGTCACAGAACCTTTAAAATGGTCTTAGAAAAATCCAGACATAAACAACTTGTCTGAAAATGTCACCCTGTAACGCTGACTGGGAGCTGCATAAGTATGGCCTTGTGCCAATATGATTTTTGCCAGAGAAATCATTGCCAGATAATTTATAAGAAATGAGAAAATATTGAAATGCATTTTAATTATTTAAGTTAGTTTCTTTGTTTTGTTTTTTTAATTTCATTTAAAAAACAAATAAAAAAACAAAAAATACATGCAAAACAACAAAAAATACAAAAAAAGAGAAAAAGAAGTCAATTTATGGATTATGCCACATACGTTTTTTTAAAATCTTTTACCAACATAATTACCCTTTATAGAAGAAAAAATTAGACTTTTTTTTTTGTTGAATTTTTCTAGGTATTAAGAAATTTTTTAAGATTAACTTGTTGAAACCTCATTTTTTGTATCTTTTTTTTTTATGCTATTTTCTAAAATTATAAAAAAAAAAATTTACATGAAACAAATGTAACATCTATTTTTGTTAAGTATTAAAAATTTCTTCAAATCTTTGAAGAAAGTAGTGTGTTATGAGCATGCTAAATCTCATTCCGATTACTTTTTAAAGTTGTATTTTCTTGTTTTGTTATTAAAATTTTGGTCTAATTTTTTTTTTTTTTAGGAATGGTTTGTTTATCTATTTATGGTTTATCAACCCTTTGTTGGTTATTTAAAGCCAAAACAAATTTCAGATTGTAGGACAGTACCCAGTGTTCACAAGCAGTCACCCATCCAAATACTGAATGGGCTTGACATTGCTTAATTGGTAAGCATTTTTGGTAAGCATTTTTGAAAAGTGGAATTCTTTTTCTGTTGATTTTAAAAAAAAATGTTTTTGAATCTTTAAATTTGTAGGTTGAAATAAAGGCAAGTTTGCAATATGGCATAATTCATTTACAGAAGCTAGAACGGATTGAAAAAAAAAAAAAAAAAAAAAACCTTAATTGAGAAGGTCTAGATGGAAGCAAAAGGATAGAGGAGAAGATAAAAAAAAAAAAAAAGAAAAGAAAGGGGAATGTCATTGTTCTGGAAAGTGCCATGGGGTTGTGACTGTTCTAGCATTAGGATCCTACAAAAGCAATTCCTCTTTACTAGAGTGCAAGAAACTTCAGTCTTCTAATGTCTAAAAAGGATCCATTATATTTCCAAGGTAGAAAAAAAAAAAAAGTATATAATTTTTTTTTTCTACAGGAGTTGAAAGTTACCAAACTGATTTCTGCACAGATAATCTAAAATTTCTTGTTAGAAATCTACTTGAAAAACTGTGGCAACACAATCTTCCTGCTTTAATTTAAAAATTTAAGCGCAGTACAGAGATTCCTAGTTAGTTATGTGCCATGTGTGATACACACTTAGGTGGTCATGTATCAAAATACACATAACTGACGAGGCAGATTTTTTCTTGCAGTAAGTTGCCATTTCTTTGTGCGGTAGATGACTTGCCATCCAATAGAACCCAGTCTGTCCTGCTATTTACCCATAGCTGGGGGAGAAGAAGAGGATTCATACCATTCCCAAGGGTATTAACACGTAAGTGAATGTAATAGATTCAACTGGAAAGTCAGTTAGTTATGTGCCATGCGTGAAGCATGCTTAGGCGGTCATGTATCTTTCGAATACATGACAGATGAGGCAGATTTCTTTTCCCGCAGTAGGTTGACATTTCTTTCTGCGGTAGATCAGTTGGCATCCAAGGCTATAGAACCCAGTCTGTCCTGCTATTTACCCATAGCTGGAGGGAGAAGAAAAGGATTCATACCTTTCCCAAGGGTATTAGCATGTAAGTGAATGTAATAGATTTGACTGGAATTCAAACTCAGCTCTGATTCCTCAATCCGAGTCGCTATCCATTATTCCACCATGCCTCCTGAAATTCCTAGGTGTAACCTTAAGTTCTATGCTAACAGTTTTTTCTCTTGCACTTTTCACTTGGCTTCAAATATATATGAACAGTATTCAAATCTGATAAAGTTCTTTTGAAGAATGGCTTCTTAGGCTAATGTTTTCCACTGACATGAAGTGGAAAGATTATATTGAATCCATTTCTAGGTGTGCTGCTAGGAAATTTGGTTTGCTGCATCGTGTGACAGTTTTTCGTGTCAGAATCTATCTTACTCATTTATAAGTTTACCATAAATTCAGGCATTGAATATTGCTGCCACATCTGGTCTGATGCTTCTGCTATGTATTTAGAGATTCTTGATAAAATCCAAAAAAGAATCTGCAATGTTATTGGTCCTGACCTTGCATCTCACCTATAGTCATTTTCTCACTGCCATAATGTAGCTTTTCTATAAATACTTTCATGGTAATTGATCTGATAAGATTTCCTCTTTGGTACTTTGACTTTACAAATCTAAGTGCAGTACTAGATTGGCAGTTAGGTCTCATTATTTTACAGTTAAAATGGCTAAATGTAACCATAAGTTCTATGCTAACAGTTTCCTCTACTGCACTTCTTGCTTTCCAGTCAACTTTGATCTTTGAAAAATTTAAATGCAGTGACAATCATCATCATCTATCTCCTTGAATCCCGTCTTTTTAGTGGTCTCTGTCCTTAAAGTTTCTTGCATATTCTTTCACACACTGTAACCCACTTGTATCTTTGTAGCTTTATTGCTTGGAGTAAAATGATTAAAAAAGTGTTTTATTGAACTTTCACATTGTTTTGTTTTATTCCTTTTACAATATACATTGATATCTATTAACAAAATTTATGTTTAGCCTTTTTTAAATTTTTTAATAATTTACCCTAATCAAGGTAATAAAGCCACTAAGACACAAGAGATTACTGAGTGTGAAAGAAAAAGAAAAATATTATTAAGGACCGAGAACAATAAACAAAGAGTAATCAAGAAGACAGTAGATAATGATTAACAATGCATTTAAGATTTTGACGATCAAAGTTTGCTGGGAAGCAAGCTGGAAGAGAGTTCCACAAGTGAGAAGTGTGAGAAATTAAACTGTTAGTATAGAACTTACAGGTTACATCCAGCCAATTCGTCTGGAAAATGATAAGACCTAGCTGTTAATCTAGTACTGTGCTTAAATTCATAAAGTCAATGTACCATAGAGTTTATCAGAACAATTACTATGTAAATATTTATAGAAAAGGCACAGGGAAGCCATGTTACAGCAACAGGAAAGTGATGAGGCCAGGATGCAAAGTCAGAATCAATAATATTGCAGATTCTCCTTTGGATTTTATCAAGAATCTCTAAATATATAGCAAGAGCACCAGATCAGATATGGCAGCAATATTCAAAGCAAGGATGAATAATAGACGTATAAATATGGAAAATAGATTTTTGCTGTCAATATCTTAGCTATGAGAAGATAAAACAACTTTTATATCGATCACTCTCCTCTAGCAGCTCAGTGGGGAAAAAAACCGGCCTATGATTACTCAGTGTTGTACCTTCAATCCCCAATCTCATCAGTGTGTGCCAGATACTGGGGCCCGTGCTTCTTACAAGAAAAGACAAATGGCAAATAAGCACGCAAACTCAGATTCACATATTATAAAATAGATGTTTTATGCAGGGTTTTGTCTGCTCATCTGGGTAGGCAGGGGACAACTTCTGATTTGTCAGCTCTTCCTCCCTACCAACTCCTCATCTATCGACTCATCCTGACTTGGTGACTGCCAATACAAATGGACAACACAGAAACCACAAGACAGACAAGTCAGTCTCCTGCCAAGGGTGGACCAGAACTCCTATGCATGACCATTAATATAGACCAGCACTTGGATATACCCTATTTCCAGTTTTGTTGCCACTTTATCCCAAAAAATCCCACCCACTGTTATACTAGATCATACCTATTCTATTGTAAATAGACTCTCCCACAAATAAGTAGTAGTAGTAGCAGTTGCCAGTGGGCTCAGTGGAGTCGAGTGAGTCAGTCGATGTTGGACATTAAAGTATGAGCCCCACAACTAGATTGCTGCGTCATTAACTATTATTTCAAGTTCCTAACGTTTTGTACGTCGAACCTAATTTAGAACCGACTTAGTGAAATACAAGCCTCCACTGTGAAAACTACACCACACTCTTACTTCTCACTCTCCTTTGGTGAAAGTGGATGTCGCTAAGAAGACTGGACTACAAAAGAAACCATTTGCTAGTCTGAGAAACACTTGACAGAGATACTCCCCATCCATGCTTTCATTTTTATGTAGTTGTCCATTGTACCACAAAATTAGGTGGATTTTAAATTTTTGATGTAAAATGTTAACTGACTTTTTTTGATATAACCAAGGAAGATTGTTTTTTTTTGTTTTAATCAAAAGACCATCACTTTTATTTTCCTTTTACCATAAACAAATTTTAGTGCAGAAATCAATTTTGAGTTTTAACTATATATATATATATATATATATATATATATATATATATATAAAAAAAATAATGTATACCTTGGAATTGGAGTGACAGAAAGATCTGCAAGAATAAATTTATTTATTTTTTACTTTCTGAAGCACTTAGAATAAATTTTAAAAAGTGGCAATCTTTCATTTTATGTTGAGAAATTCAAAACGAATAAGGGAAAAAAAATCACTTGGCTCATTACAAGATCTGTATTTTTATCACTAAACAGTATTTTTAGTGGATACCCATATTTGAGTAGACGTTCCGTTTATTTTTTAAACTATATATTTATTTTCGTCTAGCGGCCTGAATATTCAAATTGTCTTATTAAAGTCAGTCTGAAACACGTCGATCTCATGACAGTTTCTCGTGCAAAGACAGATGCAGGTTTGAACCCTGGACATCTTCAGCAGAATAAAATCAGTTTAAATACCATGACCATTTATTGAACATTTTCTTTATTGAATTCCAATATCCTGATATTGTATTGAACTTTTTGTTTATTGAAGTCTGCTTCAGTTTATTTAATAATTAGTTATCAATTAAAACAAATTACTGAACATGGATTCAAGTTTAAAAATCCATCAACATTTTCTATTTTTATTAAATTTGTAAAACTTTATAAAAATAATCAATGTAAATGTATATTTACTAATACAGAAAAGAATGAAGATTTTCAATAATATATCCATATTATGTGGAATGCACCTTTTGAGTCCAACAATCTTGGACAGAGTGGGGAATGATATCCTGACTCACGGTAAGATAAATAAAAAAAGGTGGTGAACCACTGGCTTAAAGAATATTTATTTATAAAAATTATTTCCTCTAAAAATTTTCCATTTTTTTTTTTTTTTTTTTATGTGCTGACCAGTAACTAGTCTTTTATTATTTTCCACATTTCTTGGCTTCCATATTTGATCACTCAGCATCCCATTCAATAGACAGAAATGTTGTTAGCCATATTAAGTTCATCAATCAAAATGATGCCATCATACATAAAAAGGCAATTGAATGTAATTGTTCTAACGTTAAAACTAAACACCACAAAAAAATATGTACATTGAATAACTTATGGAACACTGGAGTTTGTTTTTCAAATAGTTTTTTCCTGATAGCCCAATCAATGAAATTCATAGACTGGAGACTTAACTGCTGTAAACAAATTTTCAAATTAATTTTTTTAATTTGCTATTTTCAGAGTGCATATCATTCTCTACTGTAAGAATTAATATATCAGTGAATAAATACAGTCTGTTGCAATTGACCAAGTGATAATAGTTTCCCCCCTCTTATTTCTTGAATTTACAGACATAAAAAGATTAAAAAAAAAAAAAAAAAAAAACTGAGTACTTGCTGGATGAATACTATGCATTTATTTTGTTTATTGTTTATAGTAGGAGTGAAAAAGGAAAAGACAAAATGGCCGACATAAGAGACAATAATAAAGAGACAACGTTTAACATGAAGAATGAATTGTGGAATTGAATTCTCATTACCGCAACTCTTGACCAGAAAGGATCTTTGATTGATCTTGGAAAGTTGAGTGGACATTCTCTTTGGAATAGAGACCAATTGGAGAATTGTACTGCCAGTTCCCAATGGCTTTGACGCTGTTGGGTTTTCCAGGAGCTGTTTGTGGTTGGGGGGAAACACTTCGGGATCCATTGGGTGTGGTAGTGGCGCTCAATGGTCTCAGGGCAGATGGGGGTTCTGAAATATGACGGGGGTCAAACAACGGTGCAATGAAGGAATTTCAAAGAGTTAAAAATGAGGAAAATCCTTAGATTTAAAGAGAGACAAATTAATTTAATTAACAATAAAATTTAAACAAAGATGGTTACCTCACCACGGACACTGTTAGTGAGGTTAATCCATGCATGTAGCTCCCTATATATTTTTACCTTGTGCCAGACTTAACTAAATTCAATAATGGACACCTCAACCTTGAATAATGGTTAACAAGATAGTTTTAAAGACTTACTATCTGTAATGAGTGATCCTCACAAGGTGGCTTCATGGAAACAAAAATAACAAAAACTAATCTCCAATTTGTGTGTGGTGCCAATTTGACTTCAGTTACTATGTATGACAGAAGAAAACTTCTATGTGCCATGTCCCTTCAGGACGTGGGTGATCAAGGCTCTTCACAACTTCCTATATTTTGTAGACTCAATTTTTTTTTTTTTTACTATCCCACCTTCTCTCTGTTCTGTCATCCATTTGTAGAAGCTTGTTAGGTAGATTACTCATTGTTTCCAATCTTCCCTTCAATATGTCATGCAAGTGTCAAATTTGCAAAGCCTTCTTTCCTCATGTGTCAAATTTCAACTGATTTTCTGATTCCAAGTAAAGTAACTCTTGGATCTTGTATTGACCAAACAATAGTGTGTGTGTATATATATATATATATATATATATATATATAAATAAAATATTAGGCAACATATATTTTATATATAAAGAAATAATCATACATAGAATCACTCAGCAATATTAATGCGATTAATGGCGAAATCACTTCAGTAGTAGAACATAATGTATGCATTAAAATACTGTTAATCCATTGAATGATGTGATCCTCATTTATAAAACTGTTGTCAGATGTTTCTAGTGTATATTTTTTTAAGTTAAGCAAGTACTTTCAAAGATCTATGTCTCCATCATCAGGCTGTAATTTTTTTCCCTTTAAAGTTAAAACTTGAAGATGTAATAATTGTTTGTAGACCGAAAGATGTTTAAGAATGTGCTATTTATTGACGGTTGTTCAATCTCGGAATGTGTGAGTCACAACGCTAAAGTTCAAAATTTCAAGCGAGAATTTTTATGTGAATTTTGTAATAATAAAAACACTTGTAAAAAAGAATTGTGGTTACATTACGATTGCATCTAGCATGAAACAGCCTGTTGCCTCTAAGTGTTCACTTCAACACACACATATATATATATATATATATATATATATATATATATTACATATGCATGCATGCATGCATACAGGTTGCAATGGATAAATTGTTGCCTAAATTATGCAAAAATGAAAATACTCACATTTCATTTTAACAAATATATAGACCAAAATTACACAAAAAATATCTTGATATTCAATAAAACTGCTATTGGTTTCAACCACGCCCGCCAGGTGCCTTTGGAGGACGGTCTCCTTGTTTACGTTGGTGAATGCTGCCATAATCTTTGCCTTCAGTTCCTCTTCAGTGTTACAAGGAGTTTTGTTGGCCTCTCGCTCAACTGTGTCCCACACATAATAATCAAGGGGGTTCCAGTCTGGGGAGTTAGGTCGCCAAATGTAAGGGGTGATGTGGTCAGAGAAATTAACTAACAGCCATGACTGGGTTGTCCTGCTTGTATGGCATGGTGCAGAGTCCTGTTGCCAGATAGAGTCTTCCAGCAGCTACCCTCTTGTCCCAGGGCAGCACTACCTCCTCAAGACACTTGATGTAGGCATCCGTGTTGAACCTGAGGCCCTGTGGGAAGATGAATGAAGGTATAACATTGTGATCACTCCAAACATCTTTGTAATCACCATTAGACTCATCCAACTCTTTCCAAATCCACTGCACTGTCCTCAGATTGACACCCAAAGACTGAAATGTTCAGATTGGAGTTTCTGGCATAAATGCTAAGTAGTACAGAATGCCATTTACAAATTTCTGGCAGAGTTAATTGCATCATGGTGCCTGCCTTTTTCCTCACTGACTGTGCCCAACTGATCCTTCTATACTGTGTAGTCGACAAAATCAAAAACAAACAACTTATGTATTAAATTAAAAATAAAAAGTGGTGAAAATTTATACATGGCACCATATATATGGTGTTAAAAAGGATGGCTCTTGTTATAACCTGAATTTCATACTCATGTGATCTTCAAATGACTTGAATGAGCATGGAACTTGGGTTATAACTAGAGCCATCCTTTCATGGGATTTAACATTGTTAAGTGTTTTTTTGCTTGGTCTAGTCAATCTAGGCTCCGAGTACTTTATTGAATAAGTAAGTTTGCCTCTAGGCATTTTTTCTTTTTTTCAGTATTGTCATTTTTATTCAAGGCTTTATTTGGATAAGAGTTTTAGGTGTTGGCAATTTGTCCGTTGCTTTCATCAATGGTTTTCGTTTTTCTTTACTATATATAAGACTATACTGTTTACTATAAAAATCACAACTTTATTTTTAAACATTTTGGTTAAATCACCTCAAATAATTTTGCAAGGAAATGTTATTAATTTTTATAATCAGAGTAATTTTCCAAGAATCGTTCTCTATTCATTTTCTATAGAAAGAATATTAATGCATTCCAACTTTTCACAATTCAAAATTTTTTACAATTACCTGCCCGATATCATGACTAAATTTTCTGTGTGTTTCTTATTTTAAATTCTTCTTTGTATTTTTAACTTAGTTTATGATAAATAGATAGATAGAAAATAGAAATAGATAAGTTTTCTGTCATATATCCCAGGTTGTTGGGATGAACAAAAATGAATAAAAATAAAAGACGTGTATTTTAACACATAATAAAATAACTTTGCCTGGGAACAGCAAGGATTAGTTTGGATTCAAACCATGAATTCCACGTATGTATCAGCTTGTCACCATGTTGAATTCAGAAGTGCAGTGCTCCCATTAGTGGACAAAGGAAGTAATTCAATTGTATTTAGAATTATTATCCTTTATAGGGGAAATAAATTAGCCTTCCTTAACAATTACATTTTTTATTAAATTAGTTCTTAAAATTAGATCCTAATGCTTTTCACATTTATAGAAAAATAATAGAAATATCTATAGTGAAGTCTTTCAACCTTCATTTGGGTCCAATTCACCAGGTTAAAAAGAAGTGCTTCAGTTTTGTTTATTTATTTATTTTAAGTGTGTGTGGATTGGGGGGGTGTACATGAATAGATGGTGGATGTGTTGTGTGTATGGAGTGTGGGGAATGTGTGTGTGTGTGTGTGTGTGTGTGTGTAGAGTGGGGGGGAATGTGTGTGTGTGTGTATAGTGGGGGGGGATGTGTGTGTGTGTGTGTGTGGGGTGGGGGGACGTGTGTGTGTGTGTGGGGGGGACGTGTGGGGGGTGGGGATGTGTGTGTGGGGGGGGGATGTGTGTGTGGGTGGGGGATGTGTGTGTGGAGTGGGGGATGTGTGTGTGGGGGGGGGGGGACGTGTGTGGGAGGGGGGGACGTGTGTGTGTGTGTGGGGGGGATGTGTGTGTGGATGGGGGGACGTGTGTGTGGAGTGGGGGATGTGTGGGGTGGAGTGGGGGATGTGTTTGTGGGGTGGAGTGGGGGATGTGTGGGGGTGGAGTGGGGGGGGGATGTGTGTGGGGGGGGGAGGGGGGATGTGTGTGTGGGGGGGGTGGAGGGGGGATGTGTGTGGGGGGGATGTGTGTGTGTTCCATTAATTAAAAGTCTCCCACTACTGGCAAGAAATAAGAATATATGTTTTTTTTTTGTTTTTTTTAAAGAAATTAGAAATGCTTTCCAGATATACAAGTGAATTAGAATTTTAATTAAACATTTTGTATCATTCACAAAACCTTGATCAATCACCTAGAACTAATATCTTATTGTTCACAGAAAGACAGGATGACATTAATCTCTGTCACTGCTAGATCCAGAAGCTGGAATTTTAGCAGATAATCAAAGCAGTCGGCAAGTCAGGCAGTGCCCTTCATGTGTTCATCCGATACGCAGATATTTCCAAAGTTTTTCAGAAAACTGAAGCTGCATCCAATCCCATTTAAAAATAAATTTTTTTTTTTTTTTTTTTCAAGAAACAAGCCTGTAATGGTGATGTCAAAAGTTTCAATTTATACTAACCCTGCCCCATAATTGCACACTATGAACAATATTTAAAAAAAAAAACAAAAAAAAAACTTACTAACAATGTCCCCTAACAGGGGCGGGTACATGAACCCCATCTTGTATCAGGAGAGGACAGTATACAACCTCTCTGTCCCCCCCCCCATTCTTATGTCCAGGGCAAACAGTATACTATGCCTCTGTTCCACAATAGAGGAAAACACAGTATACTACACCCTCCATCCCATATCAGAGACGAAACAGTATACTATCCCATATCAGGTGTGGGGGTTGGATGGGAAGGAGTATACTATCCCATACTGGGAGTAGGGAATAGTATACTATCCCCTATCAGGGGCAGGGAGGGACAGCATACTATCCCATATCGGGGGGCAAAACAGTAAACTATCCCCCAATCTCATAAGGTTTTATATGTAATATATATATATATATATATATATATATATATATATATATTATAAATTAATTGATTTAAAATATGGTTATTTTCGCTACACAGTTCCAACCATGTTTCAAAAATAGAAGCTAAAAACCCCTAATTTTATTTTTGCAAATAAATTAAAAGCATTAGTTCCATTTCATCTTCAAGCGAATTTTGGAGTAACTTTTAAAATTTACCGGGTTTTAAATACACAGCTAAAATCACGTTTCCATGGTTACAGAATATTCTACTCAAATTGAACAAGGGGTGTCTAGATTTTCCTTATGACAGTATCATTGTATCAGTTATTAGCTACATTTTGGTAAGGGGTGAGGATGTATTTTACACTGAAACCTGACGTCGGTTGAATGGATGTCGTCTGAATTTAAAAAAAAAAAAAAAAAAAAAATTGTTAACGGTAAAAAATTTTCAACGTCATCTTTTAAAATTAAAGATTTTTTTTTACAATACTTTTTATTTAACTACGATTTGAAATATTTTCCTTTTTAATTTTTATTTTACTATATTCTTTTTAAGAACAGTTAAATGTATTAGAATCCATTATATTATGTAGGATTATTTTAACATTAAGTTTAAGTATGTATATGAGGTTACATTTTTTTTTTTTTTTTTTTTATATGACAGCAGAAATGGTTACTTAATTTCACTGATTCAGTAAACTTTTCTTTTATATATAAACCTATTATTATAATATTTCACATGTAAGTACTGAGGACATGGGTCATTCAAAAGCTTTTACATGTTATGGTATTTCATATTAATTTTATTTTACTATAGGTGTTATTTTTTTGGATTCTTTTTTAATGCGTGTAGTATTATTTAAAAGAAATTTAGGTTAGAATTCATTCAATTTAACTACAATTTTAATTACAAATTCAAAATTACTACTTTAAAATTTTTAAAATATTTTCATTGTTTAGTTTTTAATAGACTATATTACTTTATAACAGAAGGAAAATTACTCATATTACGTAAGATTATTTTTCCATATCAAAGTATATGTAAATTTTTTTTTTTTTTTTTTTTTAAATTTAAATATTATTTAAGTAATATTAATGGCACTTACTACAAAACTAGCTAAGTCATTTCTCAGATTTAGTAAACTTTATTTATTTATTAATTAATTAATTTATTTATTTCAAATATATGTAACCTAATTAATAAAGTTTCATATGTATGTATAAATAACATGTTAGAATTCATTTTATTTTACTACAATTTTAATTTCAATTTTAAAATTATAACTTTAAAATTTTAAAATATTTTCATTGTTAGTTTTAATTTAGACTATATTACTTTATAACAGAAGGATAATTACTCATAGTAAGTAAAAAAATTTTTTCATATCAAAGTATATGTAAATTACAATTTTTAAACTTTTAATTTAGATATTATTTAAGTAATATTAATGGCCCAGACTACAAAACTATCTAAGTCATTTCTCAGAATTAGTAAACTTTATGTATTAATTCAAGTTTAAGTATGTATATGAGGTTACATTTTTTTTTTTTTTTTATATATATATATATATATATATAAACCTAGTGATATAATGTTTCTCATGTAAGTACAAAGGACATGGGTCATTATATATACACACACAAATGTAAACACTATTATGATAGAGTATTTTTTTTTTTTTTTTTTTATTAAAAAAAAATAAGAGACGAATTTGAAAATCAATTTGATGCGACTGGAAATGAATGTAATTGTATGCTCTCTTTTCTTTTTCTAGTTTGTACAATTAACCGAGTTTCTCTTTCAATGAGTCATAGTTGTTGGTTCTGACCCCCCCTCCACCACCACATGCAAAAGAACCTTATCACATTTCTTCCCTTACAAGAATGTGCTTTTGTATGTACAGCCACCCTTGTAGAGAAACAGTCAGAGCCACTACAAGCAACAGGTTGAGACAAGGAGAGAGAGAAAAAAAAAAAAAAAGCAAGCCCCGGTCGTATCTGATTCCAGCTGAACCACGAGAACCAAAATTGGCAATCGAAGCAGCTTGTAGAAGAAGATCGGTAAAGATTAGCTGAAGAATTCTGCATCATCTCAGCTGGGTATTCTTTGAATCTTCACACTGAACAAAAACATTTGTTCAGGGCTGGTAAACAGCATGCTTGAATTAGATGGCTATTGTTTTGGCTGTTAGATTAAGATGGCCTTAATTGAATGAAGATCACAAGAGGAGGGAATTTCCGATTTGCTTAAGTTAGGATAATATTTCAGTATCTTAGATGCATTGACAATTATTATTAATTTTTGACTAATATTTCTTTCATCTTATTTCTCTTGCCTTTACATCAAGCAGTAATAGTCTGAAGTTGTCTGAATTTTTTAGATGAAACCACGTCAATTATTATTCATGTTGACTAGCATTTCTTTCATCTTATTTTTCTTGCTTTATTATTGTACTTCTTTTTTTGTTTTTATCACAATTCCCAGATTCTACAACTTTTTAGACAAATATCAAGAAATTATGAAGAGAAATAAGGAATAAGTTCAAAGTAATATTTCCACACATATCCTTTCTGTTCAATTTATCCTGTTTCCTTAACAGTTCAAGAATAAATGTAAAATTGACATCACTTACAATAAAAAGCCAAAGTTAGGAAAAAAATACTAGTCAAAAATTAAGAATAATTTACAATGTTTCTTTTAGTGTCTTAGATGAAGTGTTTCATAGAGTCAAGCCTCTCCCAGAGTTCCAAACACAGTAAAAAGAGAAGGTTAACAGTATAGTAAGAGTTAAAAGTAGCACCTAAATTCTGGGATTGATTGATTTATTTTTTATGGCTTATCAACCCCTAGAGGGTTATTTAAAGCCAAAATACATTTTGGATCGTAAGAATAATTCTTTTTTTGTGAATGAATATTGCATGAAGAATGATTTTTTCCAGATGCATGTTAAACTATTTAACCCATAGGTGGGTGGTGGGGAATGGAGTTATATCTTTCTCAAGGGTATTTGCATGTCAAATTCTGGGAAATCCTGTTAATATTTGTCTTGTACATTATGAATTTAATTATTTATTACACTTAATAATCTTCGCCCAAATAAATAATTGGATGAAATATGACTTTTCTACCTTCTTACATACAGTGTGAAACAAATTACAAACAGTCAAGTGACAGACGTCGGGAGACATTGGGCACTATTCACCATGAATATAAAATGTATTATTTGGTCAGCAGTCTAATTGCTAAATGAGTTTCTTTAAAGAGAATAGACAAGGATTTTTTTTTTTTAATGTATCTGAATTAATGACCAAAAGTGCAATAAGCGTTTGATTGTAAATGTTTGCATAATATCTACACTGATCAATGTTCTATTGTATACAAGAATACGAGTTATATATATTATTTTTATTTATTTTTTTAAAGAGAGGGTCCAGACGCCACTTGAGCTAGAGGGTTACAGAGTAAGAGGCACACTTTATTTGGGGAAGGTAACAGTTAATTCTAGACCTGAATGGGTTAAGATTATAGTAAGAGGGGGTGGGGCATCCGGTAAGTCAGTCTCACAGAGCAGCAGTTCACAGCAAGAAAAATTGTAGCAAACTACCCTCATTCCATTGGTGAGAAGTTCCACTTGAGCAGCTTCTTCCTGCGAACTGTTGCTCTGTGAGACTGACTTACCAGATGGCCTCCCCACATCACTATAACCCATTCAAGTCTAGAATTAACTTACCCTCCCCAGTGTGCCTCTTACTCTGTAACACTACCTCAAGTGGTTTCCGGACCCTCTTTTTTTATAAGTTTTTATAAATTTCAACCAAAAGCTCAGTCAATGAATGTCAAGTATTTCCTTGTAAGGAGATGGTTTTTCGGCTTCAGGCAATCGGAAGTTCTAAGCACACTGAACAGTGAAACAATGTCTGGGGATGACTTGTATATATATATATATTACACACACACATGCTCCTGGAAAAATTATTTCAGTTGAGCTCTTTGGGGAGAAAAGTGAACTTGTAAACAATGACCATTACTGCTGTTGATGCAAGACTTCACTAAAATGAATAGAGTTCTGGCATGTTTGTCTAAAAATGAATATGTTTAAATTCACCCATACTGTGTGCCAATGGTTTAGGGGTAAAATCTCTGACTGCTACAAAATCATTCGGGTTTTGATCCTGGATTGAGGCAATCAGATATCTTTTTTTTCCATTTTCAAGTGTCTGTTTTTTAATTTTAGGTCAACAAATTGGTAGTAATTTATCAGCATCTCACTCATTTAAACCATTAACTTCTCCCTTTAAAATTTTATTTCCCACCCTCACCTTAAGGCCTTTCCTGTTCTTCTACTACACCTCTCTCTAGAGCTTTCATACATTTCCCTCACCCTTGTTTCTCACTCCCATACATACACTCTCACTGAAATTTTGTTTTTATACCCAGAGTTATGTTTTCTGCTTCCTTTTGAATTTTGTAGATCTGCTGAATTGGATCATGATTACAATTCCAATGTAATAAATTATAACCATGGAATATTAGTGTTTGAGCCTTTTACATTATATATTAAAATTTGAACATTAACAGGAAAATTTAAGCACCAAAATAAACACTTGCATTTTAAAATTACTAAAAGTCAACTCCTTTTCTATGCCAGGTCCCTTCAGGACGTGGATGATCATGCCTCTCCACAACTTTTCATCCTTTGTAGTGCTTAGCAAGGTTTTCTTTTCACCATCACTCCCAATCCGTGTTCTGAAAGCCATTCACACAAGCTTTTAGGTCAGTTACTCACTGATTTTATCTATCCCTCTTGCCTTCAATATAATGTGAGTGTCAAATTTTCCAGGTCTTCTTTCCTCATTACGTGTCCCAGAAATTTTAAGACTTTTTCTAAGTATATGCATCATTTATGCCTGCATTATCTTTAGAATTTCCTTGTTATTCATGTTTTGTTCATGGTATCTTCACCATTCTTCTGTTCAAGCACATCTATTGCTTGCAAATTTTCTTTATAAAACTAAAAATAACTTGATAACTAAAGGAAATTGAAATTCTTACGAAAAAATTCCATTTAAAATCTGTGATTATAACTTTGAAATATCATAAGTTGAGCAAAACAGAAGTTGGAGATTATCTGTATTTTTTATTTATAGTTTTAGTTTATATTCTAATTAAGAAAGAAAAAACTTAAAAAACTTAATGAAAAATTCAAATGAAAAAAAATTTTTTTTTTTTTTTTTTTTTTTAGGCACTTTGGTAATAATAATAATAATAATAATAATAATAATTATAAGACAATGAGTATGAGGTATTATTGATAAAATGTCATCAGCTGGATGGATTTTAGAGAGATCAGTCCTTACCTTGACCACTGTCCATCAAACCCTGCAATAATTTGAAGGACCTTGACTGTTGAGTAGATACAGGACGGTCCTCCTCGACATTGGAATACTTTTCAACCGACGGCTGAAAAAAGGTTGCAGTTGGGGGAGGAGGAGGAAAAGAAGTGTCCCTGTACATGTCAAAATTATAAGCGGTTAGTAAGTAAAACAAAAATACAAAAAAAAAAAAAAAAAAAAGAAACAGCAAATTAAGTGAATTTTTTTTTTTTTTTTTTTTTTTTTTAAAATGGCCTCATATTGTATATGTATCTTATTTAACGTTTTTGATAAGATGAAGTATTTACATCATAAATTGGCTAAAGTGTTGAAAAGCAGTACAATCAAATAAAAACAGTTTTTTTTATTTGTCTCAAATTTTTTTTATTAAAATTTAAAGATTTGAATGCTAGAATTCACCCTCTGGGAAACTTAATACATTCAGAGGTCGAACAACATTATATAATGCCTCCCTTGTTTAAATTCCCACCATGTCTTTATTTTGTCCTCTAAACACTGAGGTAAGTAATATAATTTTTCTGCTGATGTTTTTAATATCTTTGTAATTGCTATGGTACTATTTTTAGCCAACATAGCAACAAAAGTCAAAATTGTTATAGAACAGGTTAACTTTCTTGAAAATTTTTTAAGTTCATTAAGGCCAGTTAAAAAAAAAAAAAAATAAAATAAAATAATTAGAAACAAAACCAGAAGACTGGTGTGTGATGTTGTGCAAGCTGGAATGTGCAACCAAAATAATTAAAACAACAATACAGTGATAATGACATTTCCAATTAGTTTTTGATCAACCCACTTTCTTGCCATCAGCTTCCAAAATTGTAAAATGACAAAACCAGAATAGCAAACAAGAAAAAAAACAACAAAAACAAACAAGTGTTTTGGAAAGTTAACAACAACAAAACAAAAAATCATGCAAAATAAACAAAAATACAATGACATGCTTTTATTAAATTCAACATACAAAGGAGGAAGATAGAATCTATAAGATTGGATCATTATCTATATAAATGAGTAGAAAGAAAAAGTATGTGTGTGTAAGTCTCAGAATTTGTGAGTGTGCATGTGTGTAGGTCTCAGAATTTGTGAGTGTGCATGTGTGTGTGCGCCTCAGAATTTGTGAGTGTGCATGTGTGTGTGCGCCTCAGAATTTGTGAGTGTGCATGTGTGTGTGCGCCTCAGAATTTGTGAGTGTGCATGTGTGTGTGCGCCTCAGAATTTGTGAGTGTGCATGTGTGTGTGCGCCTCAGAATTTGTGAGTGTGCATGTGTGTGTGAATTTGTGAGTGTGTGTGTGTGTCCGCCCTCAGAATTTGTGGGAGTGTGCATGTGTGTGTGTGTGTGTGTGTGTGTGTGTGTGTGTGTCTCAGAATTTGTGAGTGTGCATATGTGTGTGTGCAGAATTTGTGAGTGTGCATTTGTGAGTGTGCATATGTGTGTGTGCGCGCCTCAGAATTTGTGAGTGTGCATATGTGTGTGTCTGCACCTCAGAATATTTGTGTGTGCATGTGCGTGTCTCAGAATGCGTGTGAAAACACTCACGGTGGTTGAGAGAAGTGATAAGTGAGCACTTGGGTAAACTACTCTCCCATAACCCAAAAATACACTGGAATTCCGAAATTCAACTAAATAATAGAGTTTAATGACATTTTAAGTACCTATTAATTACTGTAAGAAATCTTAAGAGAAACATGATTGAATATTGGCAATTCTAGATTTGAAATATTGTGAGTTAATCTAAATTGGTAACTATCTGTATTTAAGTTATAAACTTTTAATTAATATTGCCATTGGCTTCAACCACAGCCTTTCAGACAACTTTGGAATCTCTTGCAACTCTTCTGGACAGTCTCCTTGTTTAAGTCAGTAAATGCAACCATAATCCTTGCCTTCAGTTCATCAACTGTGCCCCAAACATAATAATCAAGAGGATTCCAATCTTGAGAGTTAGGTGGCCAGATCTAAGGGGTGATGTGGTCGCAGAAATTGTTCGACATCCATGACTGGGTTCTCTTATTTGTGTGGCATGGTGCAGAGTCCTGTTGCTAGACAATGTCTTCCAGCAGCCACCCTCTTGACCCAGGGCAGCACTACCTCCTCAACGCGCTTGATATAGGCTTCCATGTTGAGTGTTACCCTCACCAACAAATTTTGGAGTTCATTTCTTATCAGAACAATCAGAGTTGTTTTGAACTGCTGTACCTTTGTAATCACCCTTAGACTCATCCAACACTTTCCGAGTCTTCTGCACTGTCCTAAGATGGACACCCAAACACTGAAATGTTCAGGTTGAAGCTTCCAGCCTGAATGCCAATCAGTACATCATGCAATTTTCAAATTTCTGTTAGAGTGAATTGCATCATCGTGCTCTTTTTCTCACATATGAAAAATTTAGCTAATGAGTTTCATCCTCCAATGGATCTCATCAAAGCAAATTTAAAGATTTTATTTTGCAGGAATTATTTATAAACAAAAGTAAAAATGTCATTAGTGTTACAAAAATTTTTAAATTTAAGAAGACTCAATTATTCATCGGGCTAACTGGAAAGTTGAGGTAAATTATGGAGGATGCTAAGTGACATAATTTAATGTTTAATAAACAAAAGAGTATATATATATATATATATATATATATATATATATATATATATATATATATATATATATATATATATATATATATATTAATACAAATATAAAATTTGTCACTCAGAAAATTACTGATATCCCCTGACAAGTGGGTCCTTCTATGAAATTCTAGTATGGATGCTGAAGGTAATGTCAATCAGCTAAGTGACAAATTTTACATTTGTATTAATTCTATTAATGCTCTATCTTGGATATAGACCACGTTATTGCACAGATTGTTTACCTTAAATGTCTTTTCTCTCAGTATCCCCACCTGACTGACTGACAGCATTTCAGGCTACACACTTTGTTATAGTTATTATATATAATTTGAAATAAGGATAAGTAACTCTTAATGAACGCTGGATAAAAGAGTGCTCAATTTCTAATTATAAATGCTCTGATGTGGGTGACATTAGTGGCCTGGTATTGTAGAGCACTTTTTTTTTTGCTTGAAGTTCCAAGCATTGCTACCATAGTGCTATCAATCCTGATGGCATTGAGCACTTTTTTGTCACACTAGCAAGCCTTTCTTGGTGGAATACTTTATTTTTATTTTTCAGTCATTTTGATCTTGGCTGGATAGGTTACCCTCCTCCTGGTGAGTTTGGTTGGCTTACCATCTTGAACTCACCTGCTGGTATAAGGGTCCCTATTTTACAACCTACAGCTACCGATCACCTGATGATTGCATGAAAGAGCATGAAACTGGCAGTCATAGTCACTGCCCACTTGAAATTTGACTTATCATATAGATATAATATGTGATGTAATTTAATGTCTAATAAATGAAAGTGGGTAAATGTTGAATTTTCTTATAATGTAATTATTATTTGTATCATTTTAGTTGGAGATTAATTTATGTATTTGAATTTAACTTTCTTTTAATTGTTTAAAATTTTTATAGTCATATATATTGTGCCGGGAAAAGAGTAATTCTTTTAGAAAAGGAGATATTTGAAAAAAAAATCCAGGAAACTTGCCTGTTGGTATAAGGGTCCCTATTTTACAAACTATAGCTACTGTCTGCCTGATGATTGCATGAAAGAGCTTGAAAGTGGCAGTCATAGTCACTCACTGCTCACTTGAAATTATATATATATATCAATAAAATTACAACTTATTGGACATATAGGGCAGGTGGTGTTAACAAAATGATGCTCAATGTAATGAAATAGGGTGTGTGTGTGTGTGTATATATATATATATATATATATATATATATATATATATATATATATATATATATATATGTATGCACACAAGAATTAAAAGGTGTTTTATTTGCAGAAAGAAAAATAAAATAAAATAAAAAAAACCCACTAAAAATGAAATAAAAAGGATAGAATTGAGTCTACAGAAAATTTATGGGTCGTCTTACAAAACAAAAATAAATCAAATATTAAACACCCAGAATTTACAGTCTTCACTTAGAAGATGGGAACAGAGAAGCAATTGTTAATGACAATAAGGAAGTGACGACTGCAATACTTTAACCACAACACCAGGGCACAGAAACTCTGTACCCACATCCTGGAGGGGTGCATTGGCAACACTGAACTAGACATCAGAGATTGGACAGGAAGAATGCTGACAGAGTGCACAGCCACGGAGAGGGAGTGGAGACTGGTGTAATTGTCTACAATGCTCAACCCTAGCCCCCTGACCCTCAGCTATGAAGTTGGGAAGAAACTAAGCAAACTTATTTAAGAATTAAAAATCTTAGGAATTTTTTTTTCAGTTCACTCCAAGTAGAATGAAAGAGAATGAAAAGACTTTAGAAGGAACCAGAAACCCAATCATAAACAGGAAACTAAGGGATAAACCTCCACTCCTGTTCAAAAGACCAAAGAGGTGTGTGAACTCGATGATAGGCAAACTTCTCTATTTCGCCATCCAACATATGACATTTGTACTGCCTGATAAAGGGATTGAACTAACAACCACCAGATATACTTGTTTTATAGAGCAATAGAGTCTAATGCCAGGTTTCTCAACCTTTTTTTTTTTATTATTATTTTTTGATGGAGAGAGAGAGAGGGAGGAAGAGGACGGAGAGAGAGAGAGGGAGGAAGAGGACGGAGAGAGAGAGAGGGAGGAAGAGGACGGAGAGAGAGAGTGGGAGGAAGAGGACGGAGAGAGAGAGAGGGAGGAAGAGGACGGAGAGAGAGAGAGGGAGGAAGAGAGGAGAGGAGAGAGGGAGGAGAGGAGAGAGAGAGGAAAGAGGACGGAGAGAGAGAGGGAGGAAGAGGAGAGAGAGAGAGGACGGGAGAGAGAGAGGGAGGAGAGGACGAGAGAGAGAGAGAGGAGGACGGAGAGAGAGAGGGAGGAAGGGAGGAGAAGAGGAGGGAGGAAGAGGGAGAGAGAGAGGGAGGAAGAGGAGAGGGGAGGAAGAGGACGGAGAGAGAGAGAGGGAAGAGGAAGAGGACGGAGAGAGAGAGAGAGGAGGGAGGAAGAGGACGGAGAGAGAGAGAGGGAGGAGAGGAGAGAAGAGGACGGAGAGAGAGAGAGGGAGGAAGAGGACAGAGAGAGAGAGGGAGGAAGAGGACGGAGAGAGAGAGAGAGGGAGGAAGAGGACAGAGAGAGAGAGAGGGAGGAAGAGGACAGAGAGAGAGAGAGGGAGGAAGAGGACAGAGAGAGAGAGAGGGAGGAAGAGGACAGAGAGAGAGAGAGGGAGGGAGGAAGACCAATTTTAATCTTTTGAGGAAGGTAAAAAGGAAAGGATTATCCCTTCCTTAAAGATTAAGGGATTTGGCACACAGTTTAAAATATCAAATGGCAGAGATTTGACTTCTGCATGGAGCCATGAGCTTGGTTTTGTCCCTTTTTTTTTTTTTTTTTTTTTAAATATAAAAATAATTAGTAAATTACTCTTCTGTTAACTTGGGGTTCACCTGGCTACCTTTCAGGGCTCATTAGTTCACCTGGCTACCTTTCAGGTTTCATTAGTGTGATAGAGCACACCAGTTGAGAAACATTGGTCTTATTGTGTAACATTTGTTTAAACATATTTAGTTAACAATTTGGCAGTTGCGAGTTCAATGGATTGTGCAGTACAAAAGTTATAAACGAATTTAGTGAAAGTAATAGACAAGTCTAGGAGGTAATTCTTTTTTCATGGTTTGGCGTGACAGTTAAGTTTGATCTTCAAAAATTTAAATGCAATGTCAGTCATTATCTTCCATCTTTTTTTTTTTTACCGTCCTCCCACCTTTAATAATGTTTTTTTCTCATTCTCTCACACATTTATTAACCCCTTGCATCTTAGTGGCTTTTTTGCCATAAAATAAGCAATGCTAATTGCCATCTTCTGGCTTCCTTAAATCTGAACTTTTATTCCTTTCTCTTCACTAAAGTCTTCTCATCCTCTTTCACTCCCAGTAACCTAGTGGCAAGATCTTTTGTAATCATAAAAAAAAAAAAGTGAAAATGACTACAAATAAAGTGAAATTTTCATCTGTAGACAGCACAGTAAGAGAAAAAAAATCTCCACTTGATGGCAATTATTAGAAATTATGGTAGAGTCCAAAGACTTTTGCATGGTACCATATACATTAAAACCGATTCTTCAAGAGAAACTACATTTTATTATATTATTAAATGGAAAGTGAATGTTAAAAGAACAATGTATAATCCAGAATGTGTTTAACAAAAAGTTATATACAGTGTAACCCGGATATAAGAGAGATTTTCTCTGGTCCCAAATTAGAGCCTGTGTTAATGTATATAAAATAGACCAAACCCGGATATAAGAGAGATTTTCTCTGGTCCCAAATTAGAGCCTGTGTTAATGTATATAAAATAGACCAAACCCGGATATAAGAGAGATTTTCTCTGGTCCCAAATTAGAGCCTGTGTTAATGTATATAAAATAGACCAAACCCGGATATAAGAGAGATTTTCTCTGGTCCCAAATTAGAGCCTGTGTTAATGTATATAAAATAGACCAAACCCGGATATAAGAGAGATTTTCTCTGGTCCCAAATTAGAGCCTGTGTTAATGTATATAAAATAGACCAAACCCGGATATAAGAGAGATTTTCTCTGGTCCCAAATTAGAGCCTGTGTTAATGTATATAAAATAGACCAAACCCGGATATAAGAGAGATTTTCTCTGGTCCCAAATTAGAGCCTGTGTTAATGTATATAAAATAGACCAAACCCGGATATAAGAGAGATTTTCTCTGGTCCCAAATTAGAGCCTGTGTTAATGTATAAAAAATAGACCAAACCCGGATATAAGAGAGATTTTCTCTGGTCCCAAATTAGAGCCTGTGTTAATGTATATAAAATAGACCAAACCCGGATATAAGAGAGATTTTCTCTGGTCCCAAATTAGAGCCTGTGTTAATGTATATAAAATAGACCAAACCCGGATATAAGAGAGATTTTCTCTGGTCCCAAATTAGAGCCTGTGTTAATGTATATAAAATAGACCAAACCCGGATATAAGAGAGATTTTCTCTGGTCCCAAATTAGAGCCTGTGTTAATGTATATAAAATAGACCAAACCCGGATATAAGAGAGATTTTCTCTGGTCCCAAATTAGAGCCTGTGTTAATGTATATAAAATAGACCAAACCCGGATATAAGAGAAACCCGGATATAAGAGACCTCTCCGGTCCCGACAACTCTTATATCCGGGTTACACTGTAATATAAATAAATAAGATTGTGTGTAAATTATTGTACTTATCATGCATCAGACTTTTGCAAACATTTCTATCTTGGTGAAAAACCTAACTCCTGATTTGTTAATTGATAAAAAGTTAAAGAAATTTACATTGAAATATTTACATATAAACAGGGTGGGTCTTTGAATTTGTACACAAACAGGTTTTTCTGGTATTATTAAACCAGTTCTAATCATAGTCACCAAGTTCATGATAATGATTTATAGCATATAGAAACAAGATTAAAAAAAAAAAAAAAAAAAAACATTTATATCCTCAATTAACCAATTCTGAGAATGTCACAATAATCTATGGCATTTAATGTAGACAGGCCACACTCAGACACTCGGTATAAAAATAAAGGAGTGTTTCGAGAAAATGTTTTTTTTTTTCCAATCATAAAACTAAACTTTGTACATCTTTTACATTGTACCCAGTGTTCTCAAGTGGTCACCCATCTAAGTACTGATCGGGTACTGTCACAATGCCTCACCCTATATCTCTTGTCCTCCATTAGCACTAACTAAATGGAAAAAAAAAAAAAAAAAAAAAATCTTTACTCATCTAATTTATTCTAAAATTTGGGTGAATAGGAAAGAGAAGAAAAATGAGGGAAAAAGAAAAATAACAAGATAGGTAGTAAAGATAGAAAGTTCCCAGACCATATATTTTTTTTAATTTGTAATAATAAAGACGCATATAAGAAAAAAAAACAAAACTACACAAAATATGTAAAGCGTTGGACGATGTAAGGGAGACAACTCTTATAAACTAAAGAGTTAATTCCCTTGGTTTAATAACAAATGCCACTTGAACATTATGTATATTTAAAAGACTGAACAAACGCATATGACGAACAGCTAACATTTTCCCAAATCCTCAGACAAAAAACAATATATATCAAGCATCTACAAGAAAAATACTTCTGATGAAGAGTGTCACAATTTGTATAATTTGAAGGTCTTCAGGTGTTAAGCCAGGTACAATGTAACCAAATAGTCAGGTACTCAGCAAGACCCTGCCACCACACCTGGTCATGAGACTAGTGATGATGACATTGCAAGAGAAAGAAAATAAAATGCTCTGAATGATTTTTATAAATACATTTTATATTAAAGGGAAAAGAACACAAAGTAAATATTCAAGACAGTGTGAAGTTAAAGTCTTCAGTATCAAGAAATACAATAACTACATTTTCCTTAGTTAATATATGTAAATTGAGAGAGAGAGAGAGAGGGGACGAAACACGAAACGAAGGAGAGGGGACGAAACACGAAACGAAGGAGAGGGGACGAAACAAGAAACGAAGGAGAGGGGACGAAACACGAAACGAAGGAGAGGGGACGAAACACGAAACGAAGGAGAGGGGACGAAACACGAAACGAAGGAGAGGGGACGAAACACGAAACGAAGGAGAGGGGACGAAACACGAAACGAAGGAGAGGGGACGAAACACGAAACGAAGGAGAGGGGACGAAACACACGAAACGAAGGAAACGAAACACAGGAGAGGGAGGGGACGAAACACGAAACGAAGGAGAGGGGACGAAACACGAAACGAAGGAGAGGGGACTAAACAAGAAAGGAAGGAAAGAGAAAAAAAAAGAAGAAATTAATTATTTATTGCTTCCTCCATGAAAAATTAAATGTTAATACTGTGAATAATAAACAACAGTCACAAACAATTGTGCAAAAATTATGAATTTTAGTTTAGAAACAAAGTTTGATGAAAAAATACCTGAAAAGAGAAATAAATAAAGAAAGAAAAAACAAAACAAAATGGCTTACGATTGAAGTGGCGGCAAAATGACACCACCCGAACCAGAAGGAAATGGTCGTGGAGTCGCATTGTAATTCTGCAAAGAGAGAAAAAGAAGCTTAGTGAATTATTGCAACATCAGTTTCTGGTTAACTAATTCTGGGAATATCAGGCCAATGCCAAAAGTTTCCAGCATTTAGGGGGGAAAAAAATTCATAGCATCATTATTCAGTCAACAAAGTATCTTCCGTTGTTTTCTATCACTTTGTATCATTTTCTAGTTATTGATTGATTGATTCATTCATTTTTATGGCTTATCAACCCTTTGAAGGTTATTTAAAGCCAGAAAATATTTTCAGATTGTAAGAATTTGGAAGTGGGAAGATAGTAATGGTTTAGTGATCCAAGTCTTACCAATTTACCCATAGCTGGGGACGATGAGGTGGATTCATAAAATTCCCACGACTATTTGCATGTAAATGAATATAATAAACCCAACTGGAATTAGAACTTGTCTCTTCAATTAACAATCCCAAGCCATTATCCATTACACCACCTGCACATCCAAGCTTACAGCATCTAGTATTCTCAGTCACCCTTCTAGGGACTAACCAGGCTTGACGTTTCTTAATCTCGGTGATCGTACGGGAATTGGTGTTTCAGTGCATGTTTTCCAATTGCACATTCCATAAGTTTTGATATAAAAGTTTTCTATATCACATTTTTAAACAAACATTTTTTTTTATCACATTTTTAAACAAACATTTTTTTTTATCACATTTTTAAACAAACATTTTTTTTTATCACATTTTTAAACAAACATTTTTTTTTATCACATTTTTAAACAAACATTTTTTTTTATCACATTTTTAAACAAACATTTTTTTTTATCACATTTTTAAACAAACATTTTTTTTTATCACATTTTAAACAAACATTTTTTTTATCACACATTTTTAAACAAACATTTTTTTTATCACATTTTTAAACAAACATTTTTTTTTTTATCACATTTTTAAACAAACATTTTTTTTTTTATCACATTTTTAAACAAACATTTTTTTTTATCACATTTTAAACAAACATTTTTTTTTTATCACATTTTTAAACAAACATTTTTTTTTATCACATTTTTAAACAAACATTTTTTTTTATAACATTTTTAAACAAACATTTTTTTTTATCACATTTTTAAACAAACATTTTTTTTTATCACATTTTTAAACAAACATTTTTTTTTATCACATTTTTAAACAAACATTTTTTTTTATCACATTTTTAAACAAACATTTTTTTTTATCACATTTTTAAACAAACATTTTTTTTTATCACATTTTTAAACAAACATTTTTTTTTATCACATTTTTAAACAAACATTTTTTTTTATCACATTTTTAAACAAACATTTTTTTTTATCACATTGGGGTGAACTATAGTTCACCCCAATGTGATAAAAGTCACTCTGATGCAAATGGTTACCAAGAGTGAGAGAATCAGAGAAGACAAAGAACAAGGTTGAAAAAAAGACATAAGATGACAATTGACATTGCATTTAAATTTTTGAAGATTGTAGTTGACAGAAAAGCAGGAAGAGAATTCCACAAGTGAGAATTGCAGAAGAAACTATTAGCATAGAATTTACACTTAGCAGTTTCAAATGTGTAATTATGAGACCTAACTGCCAATCTTGTACTATGCTTAAATTTGTGAAAAGAGGAAAGCTTGTCAATTCATAGAATCATTACAGAGTCAGCAAAGGATTTTCTTTAACTTTTTTAGTTGGTTTAAGGTTTGGTTCGTTTGACAGCATATCAACCTCAATGGGTTATTTAATGCACACAAGGTTTTTATTGCTAGTAATAATTTTTCCTCAAAAAATTTATTGCTAGTATTAAAACCTATTTTTTTTTTTTTTTTTTTTTTTTTTTTTACACTCTCAGTGTTTTTGTCCCCAGTTTGGGGGTTAACATATTTGCCCATAGTTGGGACCCTTAACAGGTGCTACCACCCCGGGTCAGGGTGGACCTGGGAACACAAGCAATTAAGAGGTGCTTCCATGCTCCTCAAAACCTCCTGATAAGATGTCTTGCTGTTGGACGTAGTTTGTCTTACCCAGAGTTTTTTCAGTTGGATCGTGCATTCTATCATATAAGGTTAATAATGCAAAAAATTTTCTGTATTTTTTTTTTTAATTTTTTTTAATTTTATTTTGGTAAAACCTTATTGAACTAAATTTACTGTTTTGTCATCAAAGTAATTTCCCTAAATCTCAACAATTTCATCCTTTATAGTCAAATAAGACTATGGCTTCTTCTGAACTCCTTACATTATTTATAGTGAGAGAGATTTGTGTAAGCTGTCAAAACTAGTTGGAACTACATGTTTTTGATCGAAAACAAATCGTTTTTCATTAATTTTATGTTTTTGAAAGTTTTCAGTATAATGTTTAAGCTGTCAAAACTAGCTTAAATCCAGCCAAAAGCACTCAATTTTAACTACCTTTTCCATGTTTTCTTGAGTTTGTAAAGGCAAAAATTTTTTAATATAATTTTGTGTAAAATGTTGAAACTTGTTGGAATCAATTGTTTTCAATCAAAAAACTCGATTTTCAATAATTTTATGTTTTCAAGCACCAAATTACTTTTTAACATATAATGTTGTTTAAGCTATTAAAACTAGCTGAAATCTAGGCAAAAGCACTTGGTTTTAACTACTTTTTCCATGTTTTCACCATAAGTCTCACTAATGTGTGTATCTGCCTGGCTCCAGACATCAGGATATCTTTCTTTTTAAACTATTGTTCACCCAATACAAGGCCCGAGCAACACTCCAGGTAGAGCATTAATGAATGGGGCATGAGAGAGAGAGAGAGAAGCATATTACGAGGATATGTAGGATAGATAACAGTTGACCTAGATTTGAAGAGGTTAAGATTGTAGTAGTTAGTTGGTTGGTTCGATTTTGTTTAATGGTATTTCAACCCTGATGGGTCATTTCATGCCAACCAGTTGAATACATATTATATATATACTTTTTTTCCTAATAGTTGGAGGGGGGGATCAGTTTGGTAGGTACAATTCATTTTAACCAGTCCTTATATACCCATACATAAACAATTCCTATTTCTTTTGGAAATCCTGTTATCCAATCAGAACAACATTTTTAAACAATGTTTTTATATTTGTGACAATGTAGTATTTACTAATTTAAGCTGATAGTTTAGCAGAAAAAAAAAAAAAAAAAAAAAAAACACAATTTACATAGTTACAGATAATAAATTAAAGCCAAATTTTTTTAAATTATTAGAAAACACATCTCTAACTACTTTCATCTAGCTAAGTCCCACACACGCTGCATTCTACTCAAAACAAATTTTAAAACGCATACCAGAGTGCTCGCTATTATCGATGTGACTTATGCTTGCTTACAACTATTATATAAGCTATAAGAGGAGCTGGACAGCTGAGAGCAGAGAGGGAGAGAGAGATTGATTTCACACACACACGTTAACCATACACTGTACATTTGAATACGACACAATACAACTTAGCAAAGCTTTTTTCATATATATAATCTTTGGACATTTTTCCAAACTAGTGTCTAATTTGTTTTACTCCAACCAACTTTAACCTTGGAGCAATAGCATTTACATTCAATCAGAATCTGTTTTAACTGTCAATTTATGATTTCAATTGGTGTAGATGTACAGGATTTAGTCTTGTATAAATGCACCCCCAACTGTGTCTACTCTAAATAGTCTATAGTCCTCGCTTTGCCTCTTAGTTGTTTTGTATTTTCTTGTCCGATGTGTGGCTGGTGTTTTCTGGGAACAAGTCCTATATTGCTTGTTATTTGCTCTTTATAAAATTGTTAATTTTCCTTTTAAAATCTTTATACTTTTTTGCTAGTTCATCTACGTTCTCATTAACCTTTATGCCAACCTGGTCTGGTGTTCTCATGCTAAAACAATGGATTTTTGTAATTTCATCAGATTGTTATAAACCTCTAACATGTCTGAAATGTATTGTAAGGGTGGTTTGTTGTTTTTTTCTTTTCTTTTAGGGCAACCAGAGAGAGTGTAGGAAGCCTATAAATATCACAAACTGCTGATCTACCAAGCTCCTTATAAGATTAAGAGGGTCAATCCTCAGGGTTTGCAGTTCTGCTCTAAAAATGGAAATATCATCATGTAACAGAGAGAGGTATACACCTGCACACTCACATGAACGCACACACGCAAATATAACTTTTATTGACTGGAAATGAAAACAGTGTTTATATATCAAAGTACAATTTGGGTTAAGATGTGTGTTTACCGATGAGAAACATGATCTCAGGGCAGGAGGTGATGTCTTAAATCTGGGTCACTAGTAAACAATGGGGATGGGTTTAACAGTATTTATTTTGATTAAAAGGTTGAATCAATGTTTAGATATCCCAAAGTATAATTTTGGTGAAGTGAGAAGAACTCGTGATTGAGATAAGGTAAATAATTGGAGAATCAGTTTACATGTCAAGGGATAGTTTTTGGCACTCATGGTAGCTGTGTGCCAGGCTGAGGGTCAATTGTGATCAGCTGATCCTTTTTCTATATCAACTCAAGATTTTGCTAATAAAGCAGAGTTGGGGAAAGAGACTGTAGTTGAGAGAGTCATGAGACTATCATTGCAGTGAGTCGAGAGATTGCGGGAAAATTTTGGAGAGAGAGAAGACTGCCCCCTGTTCTGAGAAGTCTGTATGAGACGGGACTATTAGTCATAAACCTACCCCAGGGGATTCAATACGTGTTTATCACACACAAACCCTCTCTCCGTTGGGAATTTGCTGGATGCATTTTGTCTTTTTCTTTTCTCATTTATGTTAAATGTTTTTATTCTCCCTGTAACCTCTGTTCTGATGTTATCTTCTTATATAAAAGACATCAATATTTCCCCCATTGCTGTCTGGCTTTTGCAGATATTATTTCTTGTTTTATCTTGCCACATTCTAAAACTTCCTACAGCCAACTCTCACAGCCGTGTCCACACCCCCAGTCGACCGTGAACGTATGGACAACACCCCGCTTACTGGATCTAAAAACTAACACAGCG